TTTTTTGTCATATTACATGGAATTCTTATGGATTTTCATGGAATTTTTGTAAAATCCATAAAAATTACATGAAAACTAGTCCGAAATTTTATATTTTTATTATTGCTACTTATTAAAATTATCCAACTTTAACCCATAATATTAATTAAAATTCTTATTAAATTCTATAAAATAATCCGATAGAAATGTTCAGTACATGTTGCTATATCATTTTATCAGTCAATTTACAATTTATAAAAATTTGAAGTCACTTAATATTAGTGTGGTTTATAGGTGACAGCCACCATACTCAATTTATTTTACGACCTTTAGAGAGCACCTACTTTCATGGAGGACTTTCAACAGGTAACATCAACCATCTAGTACCCTTCCATACCACCATTTTAGGTACGAGGTCTTACTCAAAGACCACTACAGTCCGCGATTACCCAGCACTGATAGTACAGTTGTTTATCATAAGTGGTATACTTTGTAGTCACTCAGACAGAAAGTAGCAAGTATGGTGGGTATCAACCACCAGGGATCATCAATCAGGACCCAAAAACACCATGACCCTTAGTTGAAATGTGCAGCCTAACTGTACACACTAATTCACCATGATGCAGTTCAACTACGCTAATCCCTATACCTTCATGCTATTGGTTGTAGCATCTGCAGTAAAATTCGTTTAATTTCCGTGATTAGTGGAATTGAACCTGCGACCTGACACGCACTATACTCAGGCTTAATGAGGGTCTCAGTCACTTACCACTGAGAAAGGGTGATCAACCCTTTAAATCATCTTTTTATGATCACTAGATGCCAAGATATTAAGCAAAACATCAAAAATCGGCATTTTGTATTTTATGATACTGCGCTATTTGACGTTTTACTTAATAACTTGGCATCTAATGATTGTAGAAAGATGCACCATAGCTCATTGGAATCGTCTCATAATGACGAGTTGAATGGTGGTTAAATCATCTTTTTACTTTGCTAGAGTTTTACGGCCAAGTCTTTTTCTACTTCTTATGGAGCATCATCGGACTAATATCCTATCATCCCCAAGGGGTAATCATACCACTGAGTACTTATTTTGCCTCAAGTAGATAGCACCATATACTGTATGAAGACATTCCCCATCGGGCTACATTTAAGGCTGATCTGAAGCTAGGAATACACCGCCTACTCATCCTTAAACCCATTGCATGATATTGGTACTCAATTTATTTTACAACCTTTAGAAAGCATTTACTTTCATGAAGGACTTTCGATAGGTAGCATTAACCATCTAGTACTTTTCCATACCACCATTTAGGTACAAGGTCTCACTCAAAGGCCACTACAGCCTGCGATTACCTAGCACCGATAGTACAGTTGTTTACCAAAGTGGTATATATACTAACTCAGACAGGAAGTAGTAGGCATCTGTTCAGGATCACCCCTTATGGTGGGTATCAATCACCAGTGATCACTAACCAGGACCCAAAGAGTAGGGAATTGAACCCCCATAACCATGCTATCTGTTCTGTGCACAAACACCTTGGTTGGTCTAAGACCTAACAGAAAGTCTAACTACAGGACTGCGCACATGCCAATAGCCTCATAGGAAACGTTAGAAAGACACCATGACTCTTAGTTGAAATGTGCAGCCTAACTGTACACACTAATTCACCATGATGCAGTCCAACTACACTAATCCCTGTACCTTCACGCTATTGGTTGTAGCGTCCGCAGTAAAATTCTTTTTATTTCTGTGGTCATGAGAATCGAACTTGCGACCTCACCATACTCAACCACCTATTGCCTCTTATGAGACTAATCTCGGGTCTGTGTCCTATCATCTTCACTGAGCAACCATTATACCGAGTACTTAATTCCTTAGGCAACAGCACCACTATAGAAGACATCCCCATCGGGCAATTTTAGACTGATCTGAAGCTAGGTACACGCCGCCTACTCATCCTTAATCTATTGCATGATACTAGTACTCAATTTATTTTTACGACCTTTAGAGAGCATCTACTTTCATGAAGGACTTTCAACAGGTAGCATCAACCATCTAGTACCCTGCGATTACTTAGCACCGATAGTACAGTTGTTTACCCCAAGTGGTATACTTTGTAGTGACCATTTGGACAGGAAGTAGCAGGCATCTGTTCAGGATCACCCCTTATGGTGAGTATCAACCACCAGGGATCACCAACCAGGATCCAAAGAGTAGGGAATCGAACCCCATAACCATGCTACCTGTTCTGTGCACGAACACCTTGGTTAGTCTAAGACCTAACAGAAGGTCTAACTACCACTAAGACATTGCACCCTCAGCTTTACCATTTAGAACGACCATCTAGCCATTACTGACCTCAAGTGGTATTGTAGAGTGATTACCCGGACAGGAAGTCCCCCCTAAGGTATAGTAGTGACCTCAAGGACAGGACGGCGCACATGCCAATGGCCTCATAGAAAACGTTAGAAGGACACCATGACCCTTAGTTGAAATGTGCAGCCTAACCGTACACACTAATTCACCATGATGCAGTCCAACTACGCTAATCCCTGTACCTTCACGCTATTGGTTGTAGCGTCCGCAGTAAAATTCTTTTATTTCCGTGGTCATGGAAATCAAACCTGCAACCTCACCATACTTAGGCTTAATGAGGGTCTTAGTGACTAACCACCGAGATAGGGTGACCAACCCTCTTAAATCATCTTTTACGATCACTGGATGCTGAGATAATAGGCGAAATGTCAAACAGTGCAGTATCGTAAAATACAAAATGCTGATTTTTGACGTTTTGCTCAATATCTCGGTATCCAGTGATCGTAGAAAGATGATTTAACCACCATTCGACTCGTTGGTATGAGACGATTCCAACGAGCTATGGTACATCTTTTTACGATCACTGGATGCCAAAATATTAAGCAAAATGTCAAAAATCGGCATTTTGTATTTTGCGATACTGCATCATTTGACGGTTCACATAATAACTGGGCATCCAATGATCGTAGAAAGATGCACCATAGCTCGTTGGAATTGTCTCATAACGATGAGTCAAATGGTAGTTAAATTATCTTTTTACTTTGCTAGTGTTTACGGCCAGACCACCCATTGCCTCTTATAAGACTAATCTCGGGTCTGTGTCCTATCATCTCCATGGGCAACCATTATACCGAGTACTTAATTCCTCAGGTAACAGCACCACTATTGAAGACATTCCCCATTGGGCCATTTTAGGCTGATCTGAAGCTAGGTACACGCCGCCTACTCATCCTTAACTAATCCATTGCATGATACTGGTACTCAATTATTTTACGACCTTTAGAGAGCACCTACTTTCATTGAGGATTTTCGACAGGTAACATCAACCATCTAGTACCCTTCCATACCACCATTTTAGGTACTAAGTTTCATTCAAAGGCCACTACAGCCTGTGATTACTTAGCACTGATAATACAGTTGTTTACCCAAGTAGTATACTTTGTAGTGACTACTCAGACAGGAAGTAGCAGGCATCTGTCCAGGATCACCCCTTATGGTGGGTATCAACCACCAGGGATCACTAACCAGGACCCAAAGAGTAGGGAATCGAACCCCATAACCATACTACCTGTTCTGTGCACAAACACCTTGGTTGGTCTAAGACCTAACAGAAGGTCTAACTACCACTAAGACATTGCACCCTTAGCTTTACCATCTAGGATGACCATCTAGCCATTACTGACCCCAAGCGGTATCGTGGAGTGACCACCTGGACAGGAAGTCCCCCCAAAGTATAGTAGTGACCTCAAGGACAGGACTGCGCACATACCAATGGCCTCATAGGGAACGTTAGAAGGACACCATGACCCTTAGTTGAAATGTGTGGTCTAACTGTACACACTAATTCACCATGATGCAGTCCAACTACGCTAATCCCTGTACCTTCATGCTATTAGTTGTAGCGTCCGCAGTAAAATTCTTTTTATTTCTGTAGTCATGGGAATCGAACTTGCGACCTCACCACACTCAGGCTTAATGAGGGTCTCAGTGACTAACCACTAAGATAGGTTGACCAACCCTTGGTTAAATTATCTTTTTACGATCACTGGATGCTGAGATAATAGGTGAAACGTCAAATGGTGCAGTATCACAAAATACAAAATGCCGATTTTTGATGTTTCGCTCAATATCTCAGTATCCAGTGATCGTAAAAAGATGATTTAACCACCATTCGACTCGTTGTTATGAGATGATTTCAACGAGCTATGATGCATCTTTTTACGATTACTGGATGCTGAGATAATAGGTAAAACGTCAAATGGCGCAGTATCACAAAATACAAAATGCCAATTTTTGATATTTCGCTCAATATCTCGGTATCCAGTGATCGTAGAAAGATGATCTAACTACCATTCGACTCATCATTATGAAACGATTTTAACGAACTATGGTGCATCTTTCTACGATCATTGGATGCCAAGTTATTATGTGAAACGTAATATTTTTAGGTTTTGACAATTTTGACATGTCAAAACTATTTTGGCATTTCAGCATTTTGACAGGTTTTAGTTTCAACATTTTGACAATAGTCTGTAGAGTTTCGGCAGGCAACTTTAATTATGGCTGATGTAGTTGAAGTTTTGGACTCTTGGATGTAAGGTTGCCTGCCTAAATCTCTCCAATATTCTACGATTAGTTTCGCTAAGATTTTACTATAGTTTTATTATAGTTTTGGTAAGATTTGGCAGTTTCAGCATTTTGTCAGGTTTCGCTTTTCTCCAACTATTTAATAAGACTTTTATATAGTTTCTGCAAAGTTTTGCTATTTTGGCATTTCGCCAACTTGCTAAAACCCCCTAGTTTTACCAGTAATCTTACTCAGATGTAAAAAGAATCAATGAATAAAGATTTTTTAGCATAGAAATTTAAATCAATAACATTTTATCAACCATTTGTTGTGAATAATTTCTTTAGTAATATTAATAGTGCTATCAAAAAATACTTTTCACCACGAATTGTTCAAGAAATCTATAAACAAATGTGTGAATCAGTGCTTTATAAATGTGAACAACTACCCCTTAACGAGGCCTTTGAATTTATTGATGATCAATTGGTAAGAAATGATTTGTTAGTGAAATTAGGATAAGGAATTAGTTTAGAATTAGAAGTTAGGGTTAGGATTAGGGATTAGGGGTTAGGGGTTAGGTATTAGGGATTAGGGATTACCGAATTAGGATAAGAGTTTTTTAATTAAATTTATTGTTTTAATTATTTTAGGATCAGGACGAATTTAATAAATATAATGCCAATTCTAATGATAATCAAATAGTAAGATGTGTTTGATGTGTTTTGTATTTGTGTTTAGAACTTTATTAAGTTTATTGATGATATTTTTTACATCTTTAGGATATGAGTAATCAAAATAAAGAGAAAATTGAAAATATTGAAGATTATTATGACTTTCGGCAAATATATTTAAAGGCTTTAATTAGTTCTGTTTTAAGAAAATCAATCAAAGAAGTATGGTGAGTTATTCCTTATATGGTACTAACCTCATATCAGCATATTTTAATCTTCAATAACAGAACTCATTTATGTACATGTTTGTTATTAGTTTCACATGGAATTGTATGTCACCATTATTATTTTAAATTTATGATTGAGAATTCAAATGCTTTATTTCATATAGTTAATGCCAATAAGATGGCTTCATGATAGTGTCTGGAATTGTATTGACTCCATTTTTGATGAGCCATTATTTATTGGTAAATCATCTAAAAGTTTAAATCAGATTCAAGTTAATGATATTCAGAAACTGAATTTCATTCCAAGGCATCATAATAACATTCAAGAAGTTCAGATTTGGCAACATATACAAAAAAAATTGAATATAGTAGACTTATAGGACATTTCAAACGAGCTTTGGATTATTCATTGAAAGATAATGACCAAAAGAATTTGGACGATATTTTATTAGCTTATACTATTCATGAAAAAGAACAAAAGCAAATGACAGGTTACAATCAGAAAGAAGAAATGTCGTTCTTAATGATAATATAAATTTGGATAATGAGATGAAGTTATCTGATGGGCGTGTTTATGATGTAAATGATATTATAGATCCAATAAAACATCAAGGTAAAGAACAAAGGTAGACCTAATACTAAACGATTTAAGACTTATAATGAAGAAAAAAACAAAGTGAATCAAAAAGAAAATGTGTACAAGATGGATGGTAATGTAAATGATAATGATGATAATGTTAATAGACGTAAATGTGATTTATGTCATAAAATGGGACATTATACTTCTAAATACCCTAATAAAAGGAATAGCTAATTTATATACTATAGCGATTTTAATTGTATTTTATAATATGTAATATTTTAATAAAGTATTGTACGATATCACATGTAATAGATCACATGATCATATATAAGCGATGAATAATATTTTCCGCATACGCGATGATCTAAAATTAAAATCAGCTAAATGTACAAAAATCAGTAATAATTATTAGGTTTATTAATAATCATCAATTTGATTTTACTGATTTATTGCCAATTTTAGTGATCGATTTATTGATAAGTAGCAGGTATTACAGTGCAAATCACCTATAAAATTAGTTGCCAATTTTTTTGGTACTGATCGGCTAAGGTTAGACCAAATTTTATCCAACATTCAGCAATTTAAAATTTTGCCAAAATGAACTATTCTAATCAGTGATTGTTATACACATTTTTAAACGATTCAGTTATTATTTTATTATATGTAGTTTTACATTTAAATGGGTGTTATTTTACATGTTTTTAAACATTTTTAAATGGGTTAGTTTACAAAGGGTTCGTTATTCAATACTTTTTAGCATTAAACAACATATGGTGTTATTCAATATATTTATACACCTACCCAAAACTTCCTGATGAATAATAAAATTTGGAAAATATGGTAAAACTGACAGAAAATTTGAATTATTATAATATAATATAATAATATAAAATTATCGTATAAAGTAGTAAATAAAATAATAAAATATTATATTATTTATAGCAATTTTTTATGCAATGTTACAAACTGATTTAACGTATTATTCTGTATTATCTTCACAGATTCATATAATTTTACATTAATCTGTGTTGACATAGAACAATGTACTGTTTTACATGCATTTAATTTACTGATGTAGTTATAATATTATTACAAAATATATTGATTTAATATTGCTTAAATTTTAGAAGAATTCAGTAAAATTATCACTTTAATATTTATAAAGTAATATTTTATGATATTATTTTATATTATATTGATATTGTATTTATTTTATATTTTTTTTAAAAAAAATTATTATTAATATAATAATATCAAAATGATATTGATTTAATATTTTATCAAGTAATATCTTTAGTATGATATCATTTTGATATATTAAATTATTTTTTTTTTGCTGCAGCACATATAATTCTTTATTAAGATTTTGAAGAGACAAGTTTTAATACAATACATATTGAACAGGTCAAAAATCCTAATTAAATACTAGGAACTAAAGTCTATTAATCAGTTGGATCTGCCTATTAGGTGATTGTTGGTACTTCACTTGGGTTTAATCACATCCAACCTTTAAATGTAAGTTGAGCTTGCTTTTACTTTCTGACTGAATTAAAAATCCTAAAAAAAAAAAAAAAAAATTCTTAAATTAAATAATATATTTATTTTATATATCTATTATTAGATTTATGAAATTATAAATGTAATTTCAAAGAATTTAATAAATGATTTATTATAAATGGAATAATATCAAATGGAATAATATCAAATGAACTTAATAAAAATTACAAAAATGTTTTCAAATTTACAATAATTACTTAATATACTAGAATTCAATTTAAAATTAAAATCATTATATTGCAACTCTATTTGATTTCTTATGAATTAGAAATTTTTAACATAATTACAAATAAAAGTAAATTTAGAGATTATTGGAAAATAAATACAAATTTTAAAAATAAGCTGTAAAGGGTGATTGCTTAATAAATCAGAGTTATCAAAGTATATTATATAATGAATTATGAAAATTACTAAATTATTAAACCTTATTCTCTACGTAAATTATCCAGCCTTGCCTGCAAGGCTGCATCATTACTAGATTCCATTTCCTCAGCTTGTAGAATTTTTTCTTTTTGTGATACTCTTTCAATTGAATTTGGAGTATCTACCAGCTAATATTTTAAAATAAAATATTGAGTATAGAATAATGAAATAACTCCTTGGAAATAAACTTTGCAACGTACCGATTGATCCAAACTAATACCAATCTCATCCAGAACCTGATTCACAATCTCATCGCTTTCTTCTTCATCATTCTCTTCTGCCATGGTGTCATCAATAACATCATTCATCATATCTTCTTTCATATCCATAATCTCAGATTCTTTCTCAAATTCTGACATAATTTTTTGCATTGCTGGTAGATTCATTTGTCGATTCATAGATTTCATAGCCTAATGTATTTTTTAAAAATATGATTGGTAAAATTACCTAAGAAAATTTCCTTTCGTACAACTTACCTTTGTTGCTCCTTTCATAGCTTCAGACATTTGTTGGTTAGATCTTAGAGTCTGTAAATAACAAGATATTTATAAATATTGTAATAAATAATTTTACAAATTTATTGGAATAATTAAGTACTTGAATTCGCAATGAAACAGCTTGAAGTTGAGTTTTCATTGCTTGAAACTTTTGAGAGTATCGTCGAGTTCTAACAAGATCTTTAGCCATAATTTTACATGCGCTCTATTTGTAAAAAACTATTTAGTAATTCGCTTTATAATATAACAATAATATGATGAAATTGTTCATTAATTTCCTAAAATTTGGAGTTGAATTCGAAATTCTGCCGGTAACATACCATTTGGTTTGCCTTGGCTGCTTTTTTTATATCCGCTATCAATTTTTTTTCGGATGCGTCAAGTTTTGTCTTTTCACGATCCATTTCACGCTGCGCTTTTTGAAGAGAACGTTGATGTTGCCGCAGCATTTCAGCCGGAGTCTTTTGACGACCAAACAACATTTCCTAATAAAAGAAACATATTCAAGTGAATATACGTTTCAAGAATTCATTCTTATGTTTCAGAGAAAATAAATACAAGAGTAAACCTTTACTATACCATCATTTTGAGCGTTGTTTTTATTTTCGTGTGAAAAATAGATATGTATTTGGTGGGGTTGACCTTTGAGTATTTATATCAGGAAAGGTTGCGTTATACATACATTTCAAGATAATCTTACTATGCGAGGAAAGTCTTGTGACCAAAATTTTTATCTTTTTTAAAAAAACATGCCTTCTTGTAAAGAGTTGCGCCAAGAACTTGTTAATTGTATGCTTAAATCTGACTGTGTTCTTATAAAACGGCATACTGTCAAAGGTGAAATATCGTTCATAATAGAATACAATATAAAAATAATGCGTTCAGGTCCTAAAAAAATGTTTCGATTTTTCTTACTTCGAGTTTTTTTCCCTTAAGAATGTTTACAGCCAGAACATGCCGAAGATGTTCCCAAAGAATGTCAAAGCATCCGAAAGAGTCTCTTTGAATGCCGAAGGGGTCTGGTATGTTAATTTTTCGAATTACTTTATTTTTCTATCAATATAATATATTTACCCGTAATTACTTTAGCTTGATATGCGGACGCGTTTTCGAGGCAATAAAACATAAACACATTCAAGCGGAGTTTATGCGATAGTATCTTTATATAAATTCAAAGCATTGACATTTTTCTACCAACTTTCTTTTGAGTTTAACGAGTAACAAAATTTGCAACATCAAAATATGGTCTTGATTGTAAATTTCGACACAAAACGGATAGCAGCAAGTTACACTTTATGAAAGTAAATAATTTAATAAATACAAAAATTCAATTACAGTATAAGGTTAGTTTTCACTTAGAATAAAAAGATTTATTGAATCTTAAACCCTCATTCCTCACTTAAGTTCCAAAGTAAGTTTCATACTTAAATTAACACGAGAATTAAAAACTATAGATGATTAAATGAAACAATTATGTTGTCTAACAGATAAAGAAAGGACATAAACTTTTAATTTATTGCTCGACTATAACATATCAGCTGATCTTCGGACTATACGTTGGACTTTCTTCTTGAATGCCGGATAATCTTCACGCCAGTCTTTCTGTAAACGAAAGATAAAATAAAAGAATTAGTTATTATCATAAATAGAACGTCAAACATCTAAATAAATTCTTACGGCAGCTTCGATATTTGCGGGAGATTCATCATTAGGTGTTGAAAGCATCGAGATAACACTCAACAAAATGGTCTCAACTGTATGCACTGGCATCCATCTTTCACCTGCATCCTCGTAGCCATATTTATCTTCACCAGGAGGGTGCTAATAAAGGAATAAGATTATCCCAAGCATATATTGAATATACGATAAAAAAGAAAGGATTTAATATATTTCTTACCAAGATTGAAATACAAACTTCGCCATCAGGGTAAACTACGGTGATAAAATTAATTATTATTAATATGCACGTAGTAAATTATTGTTAAACAATCGATTGTTCAAATACCATTCGGGTGCCACATTTCAGATATGAATCTCAGCTTTGGAGGCATCAATGGATAATCCTAATTTAAACAATGAATATCATCGGTACATATAATTTATTGTTTAATTTATCAAGAAATTTACAGCTATATCAAAGAATTCATCTGATCTGTTATTACTTGCCTTTGGAAACGTCATCCTTGCTTTGAAAAACCCACCTTCACTATTTAGGTTGAATCATTAGGATATTAATATCATTCAAATTAGCAATATGATTCGGATATAAAATTATCATCATTTTGTTCACTTACTATAAAGTATCTGGTGGGCCAATAATCATAATCTCCCACTTTAATAATAAAATTATCAGACAATGCTAAAATATGTAGCTAACACAGAACTAAAATCTTTAGAATCTCATACCTTTACAAGGAAAATTTAAAATTAGCTCAACTATTTTTTTTTTTTTTTTTTTTTAAAAAAAAAAAAAAATAATAGAAAACAAATAAAACAAAATGGCAACTTTTATACCTCATAAATGTTATCGTTGTCAACAAGTCCTGCCGAAAACCCTTCTACGGGATGTTTTGATAGTTCTGATTCATTAAACAGATAGGAGATAGGAAGAATAAATAAATAGTCTGTGATTGACTTTAAAGAACTATTCATAACGATTACCTTTAAGTTGCTTTTGAAGAAGGAGAGCGGATTGTAGAGTAGTTGCTGGAGACGCCATAACCGTTATAATCGTTAAAAGAGCTTGAATCTTGGATTGTTAATTTTGAGTGATTAAAAAATAGCAGGACTCCGAGTCGCGAGCAATTGTCATTGATCGGACTTGAATGAGAGTTCCGACAATAAAACCCTAGTAGATTGAGCAGCCAAATCAGGCTAGATCCAACGTTTGTGCAAATCATAACTACATAAATTTTTCTTAAGTTGATCTCTCTCTATTTTCGTAGTTTATTTACTATGGCTTACATTAAAACAATTGGGGATTTAGCCGCGTTCAATAAGCTTATTGCATCGCCAAAATTGGTAGATATATACGTTTATAATAGTTAATTACGCGCTTGTACTATTTTTTAATTCTTGCATGTTAATTATAGACAGTTGTTGATTATCATGCGACATGGTGTGGTCCATGTCAAACGATCGCGCCAGTTTTTCAACAATTGAGTACGCAATTTAAGCATGTAAACTTTGCAAAGGTAAGTATATATATTTGAATTCAATTAGCACATTGAAATCCATGCTTAATACTCTTTTTAGGTCGATGTTGATCATGTTAAAGAAGTCGCGACCAAGGAGGGTGTTACTTCAATGTAATTTCAGCTTTTTTTTACAAAAATTTCCTGGTCGATTTGATTCATATTGTAAATTTTTATATTTTTTTTTTTTTTTTTTCTGTTAATGGCTGTAGGCCAACTTTCAAATTTTACAAAAATGGAAATGAAATTGCGAAATTAACTGGCGCTAACCCTGGCGGACTCAAAAACTTGATCGAACAACATGCTGGTACTCCTGAAGAGGGTGGATCAGGCTCTTTGAATGTTCAAGGTCATGTAAGTGAACGTTATATATTGCTTTTCCACATTTCCTTTTTTTTTCAATTTATTTAATACAATTTTGTGGTTATGAATTTCAGACGGATATCAACGAATTTATTACACTGAAACAAGTTGATTGTCTTAATCAACAAGAAAAAAATAATGTTAGAAATATCTTTGATAAAAATGACATGTATTTGGAGTCCGATGTTGATGAACAACTTTTGATCTCTATTCCTTTTAATCAAGCCGTAAAGATTCATTCAATAAAACTCGTTCCAAGAGACATGGGTAAATAATTATTTTATTTTTAAGTTTCTAATGAATCTGGATGTGAAAATTTAGAATACTCATTATCTTTATTGCTTTTTAAGAACATGCCCCAAAGACAATCAAGATTTACGCCAACAGATTAAACATTGGATTTGACGAAACAGATTCAATCGAAGAGACGCAAAGCATCAATTTGACTAAAACGGATTATGAGAAAAATGATATTATTCCTTTGAGATTTGTTAAGTTCCAAAGTATCACAAATATTGCTGTAGGTTTAATTTGAACAATTATTATATATCTATATTATTTCTTATATCTGACCCGCATTTTTTATTAGTTATTTGTAATGGATAATTTAGAGGATGAAGAGACAACCATTATCAAGGAATTGCGTTTCATTGGGTAATAAGTTTTTCCTTTTCTTTTTATTAATGCAATTTCCTTCAATAATATTTTTCTTATGATTCTTACTTTGTGTGTAGATCTCCGGTGGAGACAACCAATATGGAACAATTGAAAAAAATAGAACAATAAATGATTGTATAAGACTTTATTTAACGGTGTAAACCGTTTTTATTTTACCTCAACTTTTCATTGTTTCTGAATATGATCAAATCTTACCTTACTATACAATTAAAATGTTTTAATTTATCATGTATTATGTATTATAAAGATGGATTAATAAAGTATCGATCTGTCTACAAAAAAGTAGTTAGAGGTTCTCTTTATGTGAGTACGAAAAGGCGTCTATACAGATTGTTATTACTCCAATTACTATTTCAAAAGCTAAAAAAAAGGACAAATTAATTAAACTTAGTCAGAAATCTAAATTTATATATATTATATATTTACCAATTAGGACAATGACAATCCATTCAAGTTGTTCACCTGTAATTCAGAAAATATTTTATAATAATAGTATAGCATATAATATGATGGAAGCCAAAAAAAAAATTACAAACCGTGAGAACTTGTCAAATGCTCTTTAAGCATATCTAAAAGGTCACCTGCAAAGTAATATTATTAAATATTTAAATTGGATTATTTATAAGCTTAACATTTGATAATGAACATACTTATTACGGCAACTCTTTGATTTAATAGTTCTACACGCTGCGAAATCTCAAGATAGCCTTTGAAAAATCAAATTAGTAACTAAGTAATACAAAATATGTAATAAAAGACTTAAGGTTTCTTACCTCTTATTGCTGCATATAAAGGTTCATAAGAGGGTTCCGACCAAAATATTTCGGGAGTATCTAAAATATTACTAACCAAATTTACGTTGATTCTCATAATGAACAGCTGTAGTGATCATAACAAAGCATGTCTCAGTGAAGTTTAACAATTAAAATTTAATTACAGTAAAAGCTGAAAAAAAAATACCTGTCCAATTTTCTTAGTAATTGCCGATCTAAAGAAGAAATACTACTTTAGAATTCGTTTAACTAGAAATAAACCGATATTATAATCACAGACCTGGACATTTGAACTTTTCCTGTTTCTGCCATGGTTTGTGGAATATGTTTAGTTACTTCAATTGTTTCTTCAATTAATCCTTCAAATAATGTCATTTTCACAGATTGTGCAATAGCATGAGATATTGTAAGTTTGATCATGTAATTGCCAGAATTTTTAAGAGTTATCACATCATTATAAATTCTGAGATGTTCTCGTTGAATTAATTAAAGAACAATATTGCAATGTTAAACAAAACATAATATTACAAAAATCACCTTGGTTGATACGATGCAGCGTAATTATAGCGAAATTCCTCTGTTTCAACATCATCAGAAGCTACAAAATTTAAATAATTAAAATTTGCTGTACACTACTTAATTAATAGAAAAAATATAATTCCAACCCAATTTTTCATCTTCAAATGGAACAAGTTCGTACAATAAATTCTTTTCTTCATCTTCTTTCATGCCCCATATAACTACAACACCATATTCAAAGAGAAAAACTTCAGAAATATGCTCTTGCGGAAAGGGTAAAAGTGCCGGATCATCAAGACCCAAAAGATCAGCCGTTGATGGTGGCTCATGTATCTTGAAGGTAAATGGTGTATAGATACTAAAAAAATTAAATGGCGTGAATCTTAGAATCTGTTGAATAGATTTATTATGATACATATCTTACCATTCATCAACACGTATGGGCGCAGTCCCATTTTTTGATTTACGACCTTGAAGATTTTTGAATAGCTCATCTAACCGATAAGCTCTAAATATGGAATATTATAATCATATTGGATAAACTGAATTTAATGAATTTGAAAATTTTTTCATATATAACTTACGAAGCAGTGCAGTAAGCGGTTACTCGAGGAAGTAAAAGCTTTTCTTGTTTACTAAATTTTTCTGCTTCAATTCTAGCGGTACCTTGAGGTAATTGTCCGATTTGATTATAAATTTCACACGTTTCTGTGGGAGGAACAGTTTGTTGTTCTGTTGGGAACAACGTGAGCTTTTGTGAAGTTTTCGTTGTTCTATTTGGTTGCTTAGCTTTTGTTCGTTGCCTGCCGGAGATTTCGGGTTGAGGAATATTTACTCCTTGTCTTTGCTGAGAAGAGCTTGGCAAAGGAGCAATAGTTGGAAGTGGTGTATATTGTTGTCGCTTTTGCATTGTGAACAGTGAATGATAAAAAACCCGTGAATTTTAATTTAATATTTAGTTGATGGTTGATGAACTCGAAACCGCAGTCACGCACAGACCACCATCACCTGATTCCAATTTTGGAGTTTTTTTTTTTTTACTACGAAATTAGCCTTTTCATTTATATTCGTGTAAAAATGATCAAAAGAAAAACAAGGAACATTAGGACTAAACTCAATAGCGATGAAGAAGCCAGTACTGATACAAGTTAGTACAATTTTACTTTATTTTTAATTACCTGAATATAGATACCTTTCCTTATAGATTCCTTCTACAGGCTCTTTCATTTCTGTTATAAAGTCGGAAACAGAAAAGGATCAAAAAAAAAAACCTAAAAAGGGTAAAGCTATCCTTAGTTTTGGGATTGATGAGGTATGTTCATTTACAATTACTTTTTCAGTTTATCTTTTATAAACATTTTGGAAAGGTTCCACCTCTTATTTATATAACTATTTGAAGCAACATTGTTTGATTGTTTATAGGAAGAACAAGGCGAAACCTTTCAAATAACAAAGACTGCTGCAAGTCGTCGTCTTGCAAAGTCAAAATCCAAGAAGCTTCATATTGATCAGTTTAGTATCTTATTAGAAAATTGGCATTAATTTCTTAATATACTTGACTCTAATGTTAAAATTCTTTTTTTAATTAGTCAATCAATTTCTCAAGATTCAGATCAAATAACGCCTTCCTATACTGAAGAAATGTTATCAGAATTACGTGCTAGTACACCATCAGCGCCGGCTTCCTTTCAGTTTCAGGATAATCTTGAAAAATTTTCATCCACTCTTGGTGAAGGTATTTTATAATCGGATAAATTTTTTCGGCTGACATTTGATGGTTAAACATTAATTGTGTTTTATTTTCAGGGAATATTTTTGGTATACCCGATGCTAGTGCTATTAGTGCAGCTAAAAAGGAAAGAGAGATGCGACGAAAGAAAGGATTATCTGATGCTCCAGATTATATTCCTTTATCAGAAGATACTGATGTAATGTATTTATATTTGGGCTGGGCCAATATTTAATTTTATGTTTAACACTCTCAAGATTCTGGGATACCAAAAAATTGAGATATTTTTCTAATGAGAATTCTCATATCTGGATATATATTTATTTATTTCATATAATTTATTGTTCAGAATAGATTATTACTCTTTTCTCCATTTTCGTTCTTACTCCATCTTTTTGAGTAAAAATTATTTGTTAAACATAATTTTTAATTGGTGCAGATTTAAAATTATTAGCTTTTATTATAATTACTTACTAATTATATTTTTAAATAGATTATAACTACATCAGGCAAGAAAATGGAATCAAGGTTGGTTCGTGAAGAGGATGAGTTGGGTGAAGCAGATGAAGGTCGGTATTCAATAGTCTATTTATGATTCCATGAACAGTACTGAGCTTATAATAAAAATGCAGAACTTGAACGATACATGAATGAAAAACTTGCTATTGGAAAAAAAGCCAAAAAAGAACAGGAACGTCTTAAAAAAGCAGATATTGAAGAAATGATCATGGATGTGTATGTGTATATCTTTTCTTTTTTTTTTTCCTAAAAATTATTAAATTATTTTATAAATAAATATATAATTATTATAGAGATTTTGAAGATGAAGATGATGAAATGTTACAATGGGAATTAGAAGCTATGAAAGCGGGTGGTCATATTCCTAAAAAATATTCACAAAAAACTCCTGATCTAATGAAACAAGTGAAACAAGCTAGAAGTAAGTATTTATTTAATTTTATTTTTATTTTGAATTACTAATTAAATTTTTAAATCATTAAATATATCTAATTTCATTGTTTAAGTACCTACTGTTGTTCCTGTTCCTACATTAAGTGAAGTTCAATCGCATCTAGAGAGTCAACTGATAGATTTACAAGAGCTTTATAATAATCACCAAGCTGAACTTACTCAAACACAAAGTGTACTTGACAGTATTACGTCTTCAAACGCACAAATGGATATTGAAATGCAAAATACAAAAAAACGTTATACCTATTTTCAAGAGCTTAAAACGTTTGTTGAAAATCTTGTAGAATTTCTTGATGATAAGGTTAGAATTATAAATAATTAATTTAAATAAACAATTGTATTTAATATTTAATTTGAACTACTATTATTTTTAATATATTTTGTGTATATATCTAAGTTTCCAATACTGGAGAAACTTGAAAAAGATTATCAGGAAGTACTCATTAAAAAGTCACAGCTTATTATGCAAAGAATTATGGAAGATGATACTTATGATATTGAATTATTCAGTACAAGTAAGTACAAGTTTTTCTTACAATTGCAAATCATTATAAGTGATGAATGAATATAATAATATATATTATTTATTTTTCAAAAGATGAAGCATATGTAAATTCTGATGTTAGCAATACAATTCGTCAGCAAAGAGGACAACAACGTGATCATAGACGATCTCTTCGAAAAAATAATACACATGTAGATAAGTTAGAGGAAGAAGGTTTTTCTACAGACGAAGAATTAAGTATAAGTGATGAAAAAGAAATTGCTAAGGAAATAGGTAATCATCAAAATCTTATTTTTTATTTTTTATTTTTTTTATTTTTATTTTTATTTTATTTTTGAACTATTATATTATTTTTTATTATTAATTAAAAAGGTTTTTTTTATAGATGAAATTTCATATCACCATACTAAGTTATTTGAAGATGTAACTGATGATTTTAAATCAATTGAATTAGTAAAATCTAAATTTATATCTTGGAAAACCGAATTTAATGATGATTATACAAAAGCATATGGAGGGTTAAGTTTACCAGGTGTATTTGAATTTTATGTTAGATATGAAATAATGTTATGGAATACATTAAAGGTATAAATTATTAATGATATTTGGTATTATAAATATTATATTAATTATATTTGACAAATTATAGTTTGATCGTATGGAGTGGTATAAAGTTATTTCAGAATATTCTATTCCTGAATCAAATACAAGTCAAATAAGAACAGATGATGATTTTACTATTTTAAGCAAAGTTTTTGAGAAGATAATATTACCAAGAATAGCATATTTAGTAAAAACTTTGAATCCATATTCTTCAAAACAAACAATGTCTTTTATTGAAATATTTGGGAATATATTAAACCACATAGACAGAAAATCCCAGAAGTTTCAGGTAATTAAATCAAGTATTTCTTTTGAATAATTTTAATTATTTAATTTTTTTTTTCTTTTTTTTTTCCAGGATGTAATTAACGAAGTTTCAAAACGTCTTCAGAATGTAGTTATGTCTCTCGAAACCATACCTGAGAACATAAATATACCAGCTGATTCAAATAAGGATATTTCAACAGCACAAGACCGGTACTTTTGGCGCAAATACAAGGTTTGATATAAGTATTTTAATATTAGCGCGTTTTATGAATCTCCTCTAATTTTGTATCAATCGAATAGTTGTTAAGAAACCTTATAATGTGGAAAGAGTTTGTTTCAATAGATGTTCTTCGATCATTATCAATTGATTGTTTACTTAATCAATATTTATTATGTATTTTAAACAATTCATACAATTCATCAAAAGCAGAAAAATATCAAAAGGTAAAAAAAGCAAATTATTATACACATTATATAATTATTATATACATTTTAAATTATATTATTTTTTTCAGATACTTAATATCATTCCAAGTGATTGGCTTTCTCCGTCTTTATTAGAAGAAATTGCACGTGGAGCTGCAGGATTTTAATTTAATAAATATGCCAAAAAATCCAAAGAAGTTGTGAGCTTTTTTAGCCTATACTGTGTATGATATTTCTTCAAAGGAATACTGTCTGATCAAAATTCATCATAATAATTTACATATGTGCTCAAGTGTATAATTAAAAAAATAAGTTTCTCTTTAATATAATAATCACGACTTAATATCTCAGGAAAGAAAAGGATGAGCAAATTTTTTAGCTATTAAATTTAAATTGCAAATTGCAAATACCTAAATAATATTCTACAGAAATATGATCTATATTAAAACTAAGGCTAAAGTTGATGTTACGATAATACATTATTATACATAACACGTAATTTAGTTTTTTTTTTATCAAAAAAAAAAAAAGTGACACAGTCACTAATAAATAGATTTTAAACATCATCTCCATAAAGTTTCTTTGAAAGCTCAACTATATGTATCAATTGACAACTAATTCATCCCTTTCTATAATAACTCTATCAGTTTCCAAATCTGATTCACCAGAAGCATCTAATTTTTGCCCAACTTCAAAACATTCTCGATCTATCTCAAAGAAACATTGTGCTGGTATTTCAGTAACTTCCCCATTGTTATGTTCTGTGCATTTACAGGGTGCTGTATCTTCTGTCGAACCATAATCACTTGATCCTTCCTCAACTTCTTCTTCACAAGTTGAAGAAATAGGTGTGCTAGGACGTCGAATAGGTGTCAATTCAAAAGATTCTACTTTCTTCTTAAGAACCGTTCTTTCAGCCTACATTAAACAGGTTAATATACGATGCGTGATAAAAAATTTTACAGACAGAATTCCCAAACAGGATCAATTCATACTTGTAACGCTTTGCATAAGTTTACTAATTTTGCTTGCTTTTTTTTTGCATCCTCTATAGCTTTCTGATCCCTTGCCCGCTGGAGTATGCGGATAAATATCGATTCGTAATTATGTGTATTAGCATACCTTCACCAAAATATCCACATAGGTGGAAAAACAATAATAAAAGAAGAAGAAATAGTGATAAAACGAAAGGTTGAAGGGAAAGACACATTGGATTGTTCAATGTGCGCTCAATTTCCCAAGTAGTATATGAAAATCTTAATATAAATTAATAGTACCTCTTCGGCCATCTCTAGAATGTTCTTGTTCATTATATCACATTTTCCTTTAATCGACGAATTTTCTTTTTCAAGTTTCTTTGTCTTTTTGGTCATCTGCGGTATTAAAACGCCTATAAGAGAGTAATATAAATGCATCTGTATAAAACTGATAAATCACAAGCGAAATGGTCAAACCTGTTCCATTTCTTTACGGAAAGTAAGAAAAAGTTCATTGCTCTTATTTAACGTTTCCTCAACTTGCTTAAACTTATCTACGTAAACATTAAGCTGTTTACGTAATTCTGTTTCTGTTTTAGTGAAAGTTTCTACTTGTTCCTTTAAAGAATTGATCTAAACAGCAAAAAGGAAAAAATTATTTGTAAACATAACATAAAATAAACTCCTTAAATAAGTAAATATTCTAACTTTTATCATTTCTTGTTCGGTTAATTGCTTTTGTTGCTGTAATTTTGCTTCATATAATTGCAATTCCAAATCTTTAGATCGAACAACACTTTTGAAGTGTTTCTCACGGAGCTCATATTGTTCTAAGAAACTGCGGAATTTATCTTTCAATCTATTACATCGGAATGAAGTGAAAATAAAAGGTTATTCTATTAGGACAATCGTACTTAAATAATTGGAAGAAATAAAATGTACTGATTTAGAAGGTTATTTATCTAGTAGATAAATTACTAACGCTTCATTATCCTCCGCTCGTTTTTTTTTCTCGTCAGTATCTTCTTCCATCTTGGATTTGATTTCCCAGATAGTATTTTCAAATTTACTCGATAATTCCTCGCGTTTCTGTTGTTCGCTAGCAGCCAAGCGCTTGCTTTCTTCCTACAAAGAGGATGCATTAACTAACGCCTTATAATTTAATAATGAGAGACTAAATTTTGCAAACCTTAATACGTTTATTTTCTTTCTGCAATTCTCGACATATGTTTTCAAATTTATGCTTCATTAAATTCGCTTTGGACAAATCACTCCTAGCTAAGAGAAAATTATATGTATGAGAATTTTATTCAATAAATGTAAATCATATTAAATTAACAAGAAGATATATGTATACCAGCATCCTTCTCTTTTTGTAATTGTTCATTGCGTTTCTTCAACTTTACATGATCTAGTTCAAGGCGTTTCATATCTTGAAACTATAAGCCAAATAAAAAATTAAAATGACTTATTATCAAAATCGGAAGAAATTAAAAATTTATAAATTAATTATGCTTACCAATTCCATGTACCTTTGCTGTATCATATCAAATTTTTCCATTTGATCATCACGGGAATTGATGGTATCTTTTATTTCTTTGCTTGCTTTTTTAACAGCTTTAGCTATTTAATAGTTAAAAACCGGTTTATTAATTGAAATAAAAGTTTTTTTTCAAAAAATATAAACAAATAACTGTTATTAAATATATAGTTAATGTAAAAGAAAAGTATTAAAGTAGTTCTGTACCGAGTTCCTTTTCCTCTTCATCCTCAATTAACGATTCATTTTCAAGCTGCGTGATTTTGTTCTGAATCATATTGTTAAGTTCCTGAGGATCCAGTGGTCTCTTTTTAGACGACGCGCCATTCTTTTTCGCATTTGCAGGTGAGACGGAGGGGGTAGTTTTAGATGAAGTAACTTTTAGATTTGCTTTTGAAGGTACGGGAGCTTGCTTCTCGTTCATTTCCGGTTGACCTGCTTGGTTTTCGGGATCGTTTGTCTTTGAAGTTTCAGTAGTTGGCATTATTAAGAAAAGTCGTTCTCGGAACGTATAAGTTAGCACAAATAACTTAAGAAATAGATCAAAAGAAAATTCCTCTCTTTATTCGGAAATGAACAAACAGTAAAAAAAGTCTACTTATAAAGTGGCTGTAAATAATAACGAATTTTTTTTTTTTTTTTTTTTTTGATCCGATTCAACCCGTAAATAATTATTACTCATTTTATTAAAAAATAATTTTATTCATTATTCATTATGCAGCTCGTGGATCTCAGATCTTATAAACAATACGATCTTGTAAACTTACAGTAACTTGGTACATACGTTAATTTTTTATTCATGTATTATATTAGTTGAAAAGATTATTTAAGCAAATTGTGAGTATAATTAAAATCAATATTTATATTCCTATAACAAAATTAATCAAAATGTCAGAGAAAAAAAAATAAATAAATTTCTTTTTACAATGATTATTAAATTTTTTTTTTTTTTTCTTTTTAGGATATTATAGATAAGTAAAAAAAGAGAAAATTGAATCCTCGTCACTTTCAGTTACAACACCTGTAAAGACCTGCTCCAAAAATTATAATAATCAGATTCTTTTTATAATATAATGAAAGATAGATTGTAAAAAGTTTACATTCCTTAACATTCCTTCTCTAAAATTTCTTAATAAATACCTCAATCTTGTCTGTTCCTTTTATTTTTCTTCTTCTTATCTTTTTCTTCTCGAGAGCTTTTCTTGATCTTTTTTTTTTGCACTTCACCTTCTTCGTTTGAGGCTTTTTTCTTTGATTTTTTCTGCTCTTCTTCGTGAGCGCTTTCGTCATCGTCGTCCTCCTGGGTTTTGCGCTTTATGGGCTTTTTCTTTGAAGATTCCGGATTAGGGTGTGGCGCACTTTTCGCGGACGTACTTGATCTCACCTTTGAACGTGATGAGCGAGAATTAGAAGGATTTGGTATATCTTCTTCATCTTCTTCATCACTTTGAGATGTGATGGACTCTGAATCAGGCGTAACAGAGTCAGACGTATCATTATTTTCTTCAACACCATCAGGATCAACTGCTGTTACCACTAGATCTTTATTTTTCTTTTCCATATAAGTCTTAAGTTCGGTTTCATAGGTTTGTTTAGCCTCCTCAAATCTATGCTCATATATCTATAATTTAAGATTAAAATTCATTAGGAAATTATATTGATAAAAGTATAGTTCTTTATTTTTTAAGTAAAATGAATAACGAACTTCTTTTTCCTCCTTTTGCAAACCCTTCCAACGGGCACTTATCAAATGCACTATTTCTGGCCATTGTTTATCTGGATTTTCCGCTTTTACTTGACTGGCAACCTCTTTTTGAAATAATATAAAAGCATTCTGTGGTTTTGTAGGTGCATTAGGATCACGAGGTGGTCTTGGCTTACGTGTAGATTTCTTGACTCCGTTTGCAGCACGTTTACCATTTTGTTGAGCCTTTTGATCATCATCTAGTGCTTCTCCATCGCCATTGAGAGCATTATTGAGCAATTTAATAAGAGTACTATTAATATCGCCTTTTAAGAAATCCTGAAGATTGACGTCTAGAGGGTTATTTTCTACTAAATTTTCATCGGTTTCGGCAGAGAGCGCATCCGCAGTTTGTAAAAGACTTACAACAGCGGCTTGTAAGCTAATAGCAGTTTTTCGTAGCCCTTGTGCCTTAAAATAAGTTGTTTGCGTTTTAGGTCACAAGGATTTCGCGTTAATATTTGATTTTAAATTTTAGAACGCTTACCGCGACTTTCAACCGCCGTTTATCATCGATTTTCGCAGACATAACCACAAAACCAACTTTAAAAAAGTATAAAAGCAAAAAAGAAGGATCTTACGCCCTTATAAATTGTGAAAAACGTTATATTATATAGAAAGAATTTTCAATTACACGCGAAGAGAAGCAATTTTAGTGTATAAACAGGACAAACAGGACAAAAAGGTGGTAGGTTTGTGGACTTTGAAATATACCAATTAGACCTTGTTATATTCATAAAATGCTGATTGAGGGGATCAGGCTGGTTATTTTTTGGGGACTGATTTGGATACTCGTGTTGTTTGGCATACATGTTATGATCTTATTTGAGTGGTTCATTCTTTTTTGGGTTACCATCAGTCATCAGGTCATCATCGTTTTGGGCTAATCTTCATAGATAAAATCAGAAGTACCTCATTTTGGATTGATCATGAATCAAATTGTATATATTAACTGTTAATACAGAAGACGTGTACTGTATAACAAGCTTTTCACTACTTATTAAAATAAATCTGAAGCCCGAGCCTGGGAATTGAAGGATTTTAAATAATGAAATAAAAAAAATTTTAATATGGGTTTTAGCGCATTTAAAAGTGACAACTGTGGTGAGAAGATAAGCAATTTACTGTAAATGATCAACTTTGTGCCATATTTATTGGGGTGTACCCTTTTTCGTTAACTTGACACAAAATTTTTGTATTCATACATTAAAGAAATTCGTATTTGTTTATTTATAAACTAGTTTAAGTTATTGAAATTAGCATTTATAGAATTTTGTAAAAATATTGTCGTGTCCAATAACTTATACTCCAGTTCATAAGTTGATCCGCTCGCGCGTTTTTTTCAAAAGAATTCAATTTAACCCTAAAAAAACTATAGTATGACAGGCGAGAACCTGTCTAATTTGTAAAATGTGAATTGAATTTTCAAACGGACTTTTTCTCAGTCTGAAAGGTTGTAGTTTTTTTGCGAGAACCGCGGAGTAGCAAGCAATTTTATTTTCTGTGTCGAAGGATCGCAGCAATTAACAGTTAAATATTTGGCGGTTTTAGACTTCGTATAGTTTATTGGAGGCGAAACGTCAATAACATCAGAAATTCTGCATCACGAAGGACTAAAGAATTGATATCCACGTTTTATGTTTTTGGTCACCTTGGACCCATTTGAACACTTTTTAATTCAAAAACAATTTATAACAACTAACCGCGTTAATCTTTTAAGAATGATAATCAGATCTTATGAAGGAGACCGATTGCATTTGCAGATTCTGATGTGAGTCTTGCCACGTTCAATCTTAGATATTTCTCGGTTTTTATGAATGTATTTAATGATATTAACTAAGAAAGGATTATAAAGGTATAATAAAGTTAATAAAGTTCAAGTTGAAAATTTGGGCAAATTTACCGCATGTTATTTTCTTGGTATATATACGTAATATCACTGTTAACCAATATATAAGACCTGAAACATCATAATTAAGGTAGTGATAGGATAAGTGATATAAACAGAATATATATTAAAAGAATATATTAAATTAAGGTTATGTGGAGTTAATACTTTATACTTAATATTATTGAACATCTTTATAGTCACTATGTGCTTTTTACAATAAGTGGTAAAGCCAGTTTACCTTTAAAAAGAAATACTAACTTAAATGTTGTTCGTTGTTAGAAACTCCTATAAACTGTGATAATGTTGTATAATTGTTAATATACCTCCAAATATCTAATGTTATGCGATATAACTTTTATACATTCTATTAGCAATCATCTATAACCGACATATTTTAAGACGTTGCTACCATAATTCTCATTTAATGATTGGATTGAAAGAACATAAGTGTATAAGAATGGACATCTTATTCTCAAATAAAATTAAATCTATTAAAAACTTCTCTAATTATTGTCATTTATCATTTTGAGCGTATCTATAAAAAGCTTGCCTCATTTTCTTTAAAAACGTAAAGAAGTTACGATTGGTATTTAATTGTGACAATATTTCATCCAAATGTTCTATCGGTGGACTACATTCTAGAACTTTCGATCAAATCAAATAAATAAATAAATAAATAAATAAAAAAACAAACCAGCATTATAAAAAATTCTTAAAAATTATACTTTTATATATAGAGTGCCGTTCTTCTCCTAATTGAATCGTGAATTTGCATGGACGCGACAAATCTTTCTCATATATGCATGTAAAAGAAAAAGTTATAACATTTTCTAAAATTGATTTGTAAATATTAATAACACGTTTAATGAATAATACATGGTACAATAAAAATCACCTCTCAATCCAACCATTGCGAAGGCTAATTTATCCGCATAGCGTTTTAACTCTGGCTCATTTTTTGAAAGTTGAAGTTGTAATGCTTGTTGCTTTGCCATATTGGCTTTTGTTTTGAGTAAAAGCATTAAGATAAAATAAAAGAAAACAAAAAGTATATTCGATTAAAACAAATAATAAAATTACCATCACGTCGCTTTTGAATATCTTTTTTCACATTCTCGATTTGATTCTTCCAAGTGTTGATACATTCTTTTATCATTTCTTTTTTGTACTTCTTTTCTGAAATTTCTGTTTGTAACTTGCTAATATCCCTTTTCTCTTTTTCCTTTACTGACGAATAAGAAACACAAATTCAATAATTTCGAAAAAGATATGAATTGATTATTTGAATGGATCAATTGCTCACTTGCAAGATCATCTTTTTGTTTTTTCTCAGCTAATTTGACTTGTTCTATTAGTTGAGATTTTGTTCCTATATTATAATTGAATAATTTTAAAAATTATTAGAAGCATTAAAAGTAATAGATAATTTTACTAGAGTATTTTTTTTTACCCATACCCTTATCTTCTGAAAAAGTACTTTGCCATTGTTGTTTTTTTAATGTTAAACTATCTTTTGTATTATTAATATAATCGATAAATTCGTCTTCAAATAATTTATTTTTATGTCGGACTGTTTCATAATTAAAGTTCACTCTTGATATGAAAAAAATATTTGAATTTTTAGTATCATCTTTATAAACTACTGCTTTTGAAGGAGTTCTAGATGGCGTTGAAGAAGCAGAATACATTCTAAAAAAAAAAAGTGAAAATAATAAGCTAATCTGAGTCGCGTTAAAAACGCGTTTTTTATTCCGTAGACTCAGCCACTCAGGTCACTCAGGTAATACAAGATCAGCTGATGAAATTCGGCTTATCAGTTATTTCTATGACTCATATTTATCATAAATACTATGATCCGATTCGTTGATGATCAAAGTGACGTATGAAAAAAATTATAAAACGAGAGAAGTGCAATTTATTCTTCTCCCTTCTGAATCTCCACCCAAGGAAAAATACATCCAAAAGTTAAGATTATGTGAGTATCCAATTCATCAAATTACAATATTATCATAAATTTTGTATCTTGGCTCCGTATCTACAATTATTCCCAATATGTGTTTTATCTTCTATAATTTTTTCTTTATTTTTTTTNTTTTTTTTTTTTTTTTTTTTTTTTTTTTTTTTTTTTTGAGAGTGACCTAACTTCCAAATTACTGTCTTGAAATTAAATATCCATCATAGCACATGGCTGACTCAGGAACGGCCGATAGTCGTGGTGGTAAGTTAAAGCAGTTCATTTAAAACAACGGGGAAACACGTAGCCGAGTTCAGAGATTATTTATATATATATATATATCAAATATTCGAAACTTTATTTTTCTTTTCATTTAAGTAGATAATAATTGGTTGATCTATTAATATAACTTGTTATCACAGGACGTGGTGGTTTCGGACGTGGTTTCGGACGTGGTGGCGATAGAGGCCGAGGCCGGGGACGCGGTCGAGGTCGTCGTGGTGCACGTAAGGAAGACGATAAAGAATGGTGATTGTTATTTAAATTATCGAGTTATATAATTCTTTAATTTTATAGTAAAATATTTACGTAAATTTTTGATGTTTTATTGTTTAATTTATTAATTTAGGGTTCCTGTTACGAAACTTGGACGTCTAGTCAAAGAAAACAAGATCAAAACCATCGAAGAAATATATTTATATTCATTTCCCATCAAAGAATTTCAAATCGTAGATCGCTTAATCAGCACTACATTAAAAGATGAAGTCATGAAGATTATGCCCGTTCAAAAGCAGACCCGTGCTGGTCAGAGGACTCGATTCAAGGTTATTACAATTATACAAATATTTGATTTTTTTTAAAAAAAATTTATTATTTAAGATTATATAAATAAATGGACTCTTTTTTTATAGGCTTTTGTTGTAATTGGTGATTCCAACGGACATGTAGGTCTTGGGGTTAAATGCTCCAAAGAAGTGGCGACAGCTATTCGCGGTGCTATTATCCTTGCTAAACTTTCAGTAATTCCTGTCCGACGTGGATATTGGGGTTCGTCTCTTGGTGATCCTCACACTGTTCCTTGCAAGGTTACTGGCAGATGTGGTTCCGTTATATGCCGTCTCGTCCCTGCTCCTCGCGGAACCGGTATCGTCGCTGCTCCCACTCCTAAAAAACTTTTACAATTAGCCGGTATCACTGACTGTTATACTACGTCTCGTGGCTCAACTCGTACTTTGGGTAATTTTGTTAAAGCCACCTTCGCTGCCATTGGCAATACCTACGGCTTCTTGACCCCTGACTTGTGGAAAGATAACGAACTTAAGCAGTCTCCATATCAAGAATTCAGTGATATGTTGCAGAAGGCTCCTGACAAGAGGAAGAGTTAAGCTGTCGATGTGTCATTCTAATTATTCAACTGCTATAACTTTTTTCTCAAGAAGACAGACTCTTATCTTAATAACAATTTGTGTTCATTCAAATAATAAAACAAAAAATTTATTTTATGTTTGTGTGAATAATCAATATTGGTTTATTACTTTGTATAATCAATTTGAAAATTTTTTTCTCTATGTTAGAACTTACAGACATTAAATTGTACAAAAAGAAAAATCATATTAAACGTTTTATTAAGTGTTTCGTAGTTTCGTAATGTCTATTATTATAATAAACTGTCTAATTAAAATCTAAAGCAAGAATTTTAATAGATCAAGTGAACGTATTAAAAACAGATATAAACAAGTGTGATACAATCCGAAATCCATTTCTAGATTAGGAATATAATTAAAAATTTAAACTTGCAAACTTATTGAACAAGATAATATATTAAAAATCATAATCTTCGAAAGACTATTCGTAAGATATTGTAAAATATGGTTAAAAAAAAAAAAAAATTTAATATTCTAATTAAAGCGAATAAAGTTATGCAATAAATAAATAAATAAATGAAAAACACGAATGATGAAAAGAATTTAGGCAATGATCGGCAGAATAAATTGATAACATAATCTAGGATAAAAAGTTCTTTTCCCAATGTAAAATTTGAACCAGTTCTAAGAATGATATAGTCTTTTGGATGTCGTAATATTAATAACGTTATACAAACTCTCTTAAAAAATTCGATATTATTTGTTGTAAATCAATTTCTAGAAGTGTCTATGGACCTTCCGATAGTGGATTAGCGAAAAATGACTTTGCCACAATATTAGCCACAATGTGATTCAAAGACGCGACTTAGAGATTGCGAATACTTTGCAAATTATGAGGTTAAATAAAGGAAAATAATTGTATCGTTCTCTATTCCTTTCTCAAACAAATTATACTACTACTCACTATGAGTTGACTGGCGCATTAATACATGATTGACTTCGATGAGGTTTCAGCCGGAGCAAATTTCTGTAGTTTTTTTTGAAATTCTTGAAATCTTTTATATTTTTTTAATTTTGATAATTAGATTGTAATAATATAATTATAATTTAACTTTTATTTGAACGTTATTAATTGAACTAATAATGTAAAATTGTGAATGATTTTAATATAGACGATGAATTCAAAATGCATATGTAATACAAAATTGAATTTTCACATTTTACATAACATTGCCTCATATAATGATAATATAAATGCAGCACGGCTTTAAAGTTTTAAAAAGACTCTAAGTATGTTTTAAATCTATTACAATTATTATAATAATTACTCATTTCTCATCTTTTTTTTTTTTTTTTGATAAACGCATTTCTTTATTTTAAATTTCATATTACATCGTAAATTTAGAAATACATATGAAATTAAGCATTTCTCATCATTTAAAAATGATTAAAGAGAAACACTAATTTATGAATGAGATTACAATTTTTTTTTTTACCGAAAACATACGCCAAATATGAATACGATTTTTAGCTTAGCATACAATTAAAAAAAACAACAAAAAAAAAAATCAAAAAAGTATTCCCAAAATTGGTCATTATATTTGCATGTATATGCAAACGCCACATCTGACATCTGATCAACAGATTTAGCTGCCACAATGAAAACTAACAACTTGAGCAGCCGCACTTACGAGTTTATTATAAACTCGTGACGTGGAGTAACACCATCTCTGGGTATAAATGCGGTATGATTCTGGATAACATTTCGTGGAAATTTAATAGCTATTGATTCCGCGTCAGCTTGTTAAAAAGTTAACTGCTAAAAAATGACGAATAAGTCGGAATCAAAGGCGTTTCTTGAACCTGGCACTTTCCACTTTGTAAAATGGAAAAATGACATACGTAAATGTTATAAACTTTTGAGTATTTTTGCTTTTAACTTTTTTCCATGAACGTAAACAAAATATATTAAACAGGTATAAGTTTAAACATGTAGCACGAATAATCTTAACTTTTAAAAATTTTTATGAAAACAGGCAAAGCTGAAATTCTCGAAAAAAGGATCTGTGAGGATAGTTCTAACGACTATATTTACTACGTGCACTATGAAGGGTGTAAGTACTACTACTTATTTATTACATTTTCGTTCTTATCACCGAATAATCCAAATAAACAACATAAACCAACCTAATTTTTTGAAAATATCGTATAAACTTCTTAGTTGACCGAAGACTTGACGAATGGGTCACCCCTGAAAGATTTGTTAAAGCCGTGGTTACTTCCTCGTCAGGAGCAACACCAGCAAAACGGGCTGGAGTTGACGAAGAAGCAACTGACGAGGGAGAAGCATCTTATCAAAGTCGATTTCCCAAAAAGCGAAAACTTAATGACGGTGGTTCTGTAAAAGGACCAAAAAGGGTATTTACACTTCAACTATTTTTGCTCTGTATACCGCTACATACAACTTTGGCAATATGTTGATTGAGATCATATCATTTATTCATTAAATGGTGCAGGAAGATGCTCTTGAAAAAGAGCACGAGAAGAATACAAAGGTCCGAAACATTGGTGCTGCCGTGTTTGGACAATACGAAATCGACACGTGGTACTATTCACCTTTTCCTGACGAGTATAAGTACCTCGAAAAAGTATACTTTTGTGAGAGATGCATGAAGTATATGAAGATGAAAGAGACATGGGGGCGACACATGGTATGTAATGTAAAGATACATTAAAATATAGATCTTTTACTTGACATTTTCGTTCTAATTGGATTCCTCTTTATATTTCTATTATAATATTTTTAAGTCTCTTTGCGATCACAAATGTCCTCCAGGAGGGTTAGTTTATGAAAGTGGTCGAAATAAGATATATGAGATCGACGGAAAACTGAATAAGGTAACTTTATATCTTGCGCACGTGATCATACTTGTATAAGGTTGTATGACGTATGAAGTATGAGATCATATACGGTTTTAACGTTCTGTTATCTTATACATATATTACATTATATTTGCTCTTTAGCTTTACTGTCAGAATCTTTGCCTTTTGGCAAAATTTTTTATCGACCATAAAACTATCTACTATGATGTAGAAGGGTTTATTTTTTATATACTGACCGAGAATGACGAGAACGAGGAGCATGTCGTAGGATACTTCTCGAAGGTATGGATAATAGGGTTAAAAAGAGTTGTTAATAAAAGTTGTTAATTTTATTACGCTATTATAATTGTTATATCCAGGAGAAAGTATCGTACGATAATAATAACTTGGCCTGCATATTGGTCTTTCCGCCTTACCAAAGACGAGGACATTCGCAATTGCTGATTGAATTCAGTAAGTATTCTTTATCTTTATAAAATTTGATATAGAGAAAACTTATATGAAGATTTATTTATATAATTAGGCTATGAACTTTCTAAAAAAGAGGGTAAAATTGGTTCCCCAGAGAAACCTATTTCCGATTTAGGAATGAAAGGATACCGCGCTTATTGGAACAAAGCAATACTTCGTCTTCTAAAGAATTGCAAAGGAGCAGACGTAGGTATAGGATCTGTTTCAGAATCCTCGCCGTTTTCAGTGACACCACCTGAAGCAGATAAAATCATTACCGAGGATCATGAAGACACACTGCAAAAAAAAGATGAGATAATCACGATCTCCATAAATAAAATCTCCGAGATGACTGGCATTCGTCAGGACGACGTTATTGAAACTTTTCGTGAGTTAGGATTTCTCAAATATAGAAATCCACTACCTTTCATAGAAACTACGGCTACATCAGCAGTTACTATTCATCCAATAAACAATGTAGTGAACGGAGATCATCGACACGAGCCATACCATCAGGTTCATAATCATAACTCGCACAAGAACCAACAACACAAATTGCATCATGATGAAGAATACACTCAGAAACGTAACCAAAACCGTTTTGTATGTATAACGAGAAGAATGGTCGATGACTACATTCGAAGCCATGGTATAAGGCTCGAGAATAGGGTATTCGACGTTCGTGGTCTCAAATGGGTTCCCGATGGAAGCCGTTAAGACGCAAGGGGCTAAAGTAATATGACGATGAACTTTCTTTGTTTATCGTCTGTCACAAAGTCCTTTACTAAGTATTAAAACATCTATCGAAGGGAAATGAAGACTTTGACCGTTGTTATTGCATTTTTTTACAAAGATAAAACCTTTCCTCACGTTTTATCATCCAAAGTATATCAATAAGGCAATTGATAAATAACTTTGGCAGTTTCAATTAATCTTTTTAATGACGAAGAACTTTTCTTTGTTTATCGTAGGCAAAGCCTTCATGTCAAGGGGAAATGACACGGCTGTTGCAGATAATTTTTACGTCGACTTGTTTTTCGTCCAAGAGCAAATATTTTATGGTTATTTATAATTATTATCTCATTAATTTCTCGTCGCAAGATCGTCAACAAAACCAAAAAAGCCTATTGATTTTTTTATATGACACTTTTTATTTATTTACGAAAAGCTAATGGCATCTTAAATACGATATAGATTTATTATTTTCATGGGCCGTAATTTCTTTTATTATGCAAAATCTTGCTGACTAGCTCTTTCTTCTAGATCTTGAGCATCAAATTTTTGAGATAATACAACACAAGTTAACCTACTTTTTGTATCATATGTTGCCAACGGTAAATTGAAAATCGGATTATTCCCTTCTTTGTAATTGTGTGGTAACACTTTATTAAGGTTCCATACGTTAATGACACCATCAGAAGAGATGGATGATAATAATGTAAAAGGCGCACTATTATTTGGCGGTATTGATTGAATAATTGATATGTCCTTGATCCTATATATGAAGGTTAGTACTATATTCTTTTGAACATGATTTTGTTTATATGCAATATTAACTTACCTATTTTTATGTCCCAATAACGTTATCAAACAATTACCGCTCTTAACTTCATATACCCTTATGGCCTTATCTTCGCTTCCTACAATCAGCAAGTCACCCAGATGCTCATGTTCATAATATTGCATACAAAGAAAACGAGAATTGCCACTTTGAAATCTCTGCAATATTTGAGCATCCTTTATTTATTTATATTATAAATAAAAGTTTGTTGGAAACAAACATTATTTATTTTTAATTTAATACATATTTGATTCAACAGATAACTTAATAACTTACTGAAGTGCTGTATATTTCTATTTCTCGAGCCATTAAAATTGCATATTGTTCACCTGATGAATTCCATAAGATGATTTCACCCTCTAATGAAATAATTCAAGATTATAAGAAAATGGTCACTAAGAAGAAGTTTATTTCAATAAATACCTCTTCCAAGTTTGTTTACGCTGGCCTTTTGGCCAGCCAATAAATTCCATAAGCGAACAGTTTTATCATTAGATACCGATAAAGCTATTTTGCCAGATGGATGAACCGCTAAAGAATTTACACGTCCCTTGTGACCTTTTAAAGTTTTTAAACATTCCCAATCTTTGGTTCTCCAAATACATATTGTACCATCTTCGCTTCCGCTAAACATATGAGTTTTATTAAAGAATTGAATAGTTGTTATAGAACCTTCATGTTGTAACAAGGATCCAAGTTCCTTACGTTTTCTCAAATTGTATAACCTTTTATAGTAAAAAATGTTATTTCTTATTTTACTAATCAAATATTACTTTCAGATTGATGTATTTAAACTCACTTTATAACCTCGTCAGTACTTCCTGAAGCTAAAAATTTGCCTCCCACCGATACTGTTTTGATACATCCAGTATGAGCTGAAAAGACAAAGATCGGATCTAATTTTAATGAAAAATCATCCTTCAAGAATAAATTATTTTATTAGATTCGATTCAAAAAGAAAAATTAAAAATAAAAAAATAAAATGTATACATCATCAGAGCTTTCGCCGGACTTTATCCAATGAGCATCAATTCCATATAAAATCCTTTCATAGCTTCCTGCAATAATTAAAAAATCTTTAACAATGATTTTGTCCTCTGTGTCTAACGAAATAAGTTCATTTGTTTGTTCCTTAATTTGTAATTTGTTATTAAGTTTAAAATCAGACTTGGTCGTAGGTTGGTTTGAAATAGCTTTTTGATCAATTTTTTCTTTTTTCTTTAATTTATTTTCTTGTTTTGTTATAGAATTCGAGAGGCGCGTTTTCTTCGACTTTGGCATATTTTTCGAAAGAGATGTAAAAAAAATATTCAATGATCCAAATAATCAGTACCAAATATTTGGATCTTATCACAAAAAACGTATTCCGAATTGTCGGATGTACTAAAAAAAAGCTATAAATAGATTTAAAAAGAATTTGTGCGAATATTCTTTAAAATTTGCAGTTAAATTTATATTACAATTTTACAATTACACCCCTTTTCAAATCACGAAAAAGATTACGTGTTTTGCAGTTGAAAAGGGGAAATTTTTTGGGTTTTCTCTTCGTTAATAAATAAACATATATATAGCTGTTTAACTTTCTTCATTTTTCTCCTAAAATTTTTTTTTTTTGGTCATTTTTCGCGTTTATTTATTAATTTTTTTCTTTATTATTTATTTAATTTATTTGTTTAAAATTTCTTTTTGATAATAAAATTTTTACGTACATTTTTGTTTACTTTTTACTTTGGCTATATTTATAATTAACAATGGTAATGTGCTTTGTATAATAAACTAGATGCTTTCATTACAAAACTATTAAAAGGCGATTCATTATTTTCAATTTATTCGTTTGTTCAAAATAGAGTTCCTCTACCCAGGCCGATCCAGAAGAATTTTATGTCAAACAAGATAGAATAGGCAAGAGCTATATTATTTGAAATTATGTAATGAACATATCACATAATAGGAGGCTTGTTAGAATGGAAGGAGGAGTGCTTAGGATTGATTGGTTTCAATTCATTGATCATCATTAACATTTTTAAACAAAAACTTCATGATATTTAGGTAAAGGATCTTTTGGTGAAGTATTCAAAGGGTAAGTAAATAATTATTTTTTTATAGGAATCTTCAAATAGTAAGAAAAAAAAAGGATTGAATATTATCATGGAGAGCTTTCGAAGAAAGCATAATAATATAATTAGAGAATAATTAAAATATTTAAGCAGACTGTTAGATGTGCAATGTTTGAGATGAATAGTATAGCAAATAAGAGTATTAAGTAATATTGTTTATAACAATCACTTAGTTTTGATAAAAAGACGAAAACTCCAGTAGCTATTAAAATTATTGATCTTGAAAATGCCGAGGATGAAATTGAAGATATTCAACAAGAAATTTCAATCCTCTCACAATTGGATTCACAGTATGTTACAAGGTAACTTCAATAACATTATTGAGCTATGCTACATTTGAAGTACAAAATTAAAATCTTACAATTACGGTAAAAATGTATTGTAAAGATATTATGGCTCTTACCTTAAAGGAACTCATTTATGGATTGTAATGGAATATTGTTCTGGCGGTTCTTGTTCAGATTTAGTAAGGATTACTTTTTTAAATTTTCATTTCTTTAAAACATATATTGATTTACCTTTGAATATAGATGAAGCCAGGAGTCATCAAAGAAGAGTATATAGCGATTATATTAAGAGAACTACTGAAAGGATTAGATTATCTTCATAACGAAAATAAATTACACAGAGGTTTGTACCTTATTTATTTTAATTTTTCATATAAACATTGTATAATACATCGTATATAACTAATAAATTCGTATTAAAAATAGACGTCAAAGGTTCGTTAAACAGTCTTTATTGAATATTTGTTACAAAGAATTTTTTCTTTGAGTCAGAACTGAAAGTTGAATCATTTACAACAGCGGCGAATATTCTTTTAAGTTCGACTGGTGATGGTACGTAAAAGTGATATAAATTTATAATCATGATGAATCGCAATATCTATTTGTACTAAATTTTGCATTATCGATCCGCAGTGAAGTTGGCCGATTTTGGAGTTTCGGGACAGGTAGACAAAATCTATATATAAAGCCTGTATTTTGTTATTTGTTAGATTCCTTTTGTAGGACTGGGTAAACATTTAAGTTCATTCATATAGCTTACAGCAACTATAACAAAGAAAAATACTTTTGTTGGGACGCCGGTAAGTGTTACGAAATCATTTTCCCACTTTTCATATATTAGTAGATTTACTTTGATTGATCTGATATTTTACTTTAGTTTTGGATGGCACCTGAGGTTATAAAGCAATCAGGATACGACTTCAAGGTAAATAAAAAAGGGTTCAAATTCTTGTTAATATATCTTAGCTGTTTTAACAAATATGCCGATTTTTTAGGCGGATGTCTGGTCGTTAGGTATAACCGCCATCGAACTTGCCAAGGGTGAACCGCCTTATGCAGATCTTCATCCAATGAAAGTACTTTTCCTTATTCCTAAAAATCCACCTCCAACATTGGAAGGTTACTATTCTAAAGCATTCAAGGAATTTATCGCATTATGTTTAGATAAAGATCCTAATAACGTAAGTACAATTTAATTATAAGTCTTCTACAAGTTTAATAGTTATCAAATGAAATATTAAATTTACGAGTAAATATTTAGAGACCTACGGCAAAAGAATTACTTAAACATAGGTTTATTCGTAGTGCGAAGAAAACCTCCTATTTAACAGAGTTAACCGAACGACATGAAAGATGGTTGGCTGAAGGAGGTTGTCAGATAGATTCTGAGGAATCAGATAATTCAGAGAATGGGTATTTCTTTCTTAAATTACTTTTAAATTTTCCATACCTGATCTATTTTATTTATTATACTTGAATCTTTTTACTGACTTTAGTGTCGATGATTATGACGAGACAAATTGGGAATTCGAAACTATTAAACAATCCAAAACAAGGTCACCAAATTATTCAGATGATGATGATGATTTGAAAGATTCCGCTACAATTGGACCATCAAAAGGAAAACAAGCAAAGGTAATAATTGATTTTTGTCGTTGATTTCAATTTATATTCATCTTAATATTAACTTTTAATGGTATTAATTCAAGGCTATGAAGGAAAATGATTCTGGTTACGATACAATCAAACATGTAGATAATGAGTGCGTAGAACTCTATGGTCATCCAGTATCAGGTCCAGATGTTTTCAAAAAAGTGATTGTACCATCAATCGATAAGGTATGCATGTAACAAATTCTATAAATAAGATTATGTATTCTATTATCTTAAAAATTACTTTTTTATAATTTGGAATAGTTGCGTAAAAAAGCTCCCACCCAAAAGGCTCAATTCACTTTGGATGCCTTGAAAAAAGCTTTTGAGGACGCTGAAAGGGAAAATCCGGGAATAAGTGAGACATTTATGCATGCAGTGTTTCAAAGATATGATGAAGTTAATCCTTAAACGTGTTATTATATTTAAAAGAATGTGAACGAATGCAATTTTTATTGTATATATTATATATTAAATTATCTCGCTCTAAAAATTGAGTACTGTTTATTAATAATTTTATTGTTTATTATATAAATACTTTTTATTTCTACTCTCCTTTGTTATTCAGCACTTATTCCCCCTATTTATATAGTTCGATTTAATTATCCTTATTATAAACAGAGAAACATTGGTATATACCCAACAAGTACACTTAAATGTTCTTTAAAATATCGTTATTTATTAACATGCGGATGAATCACTTAATGAGTCTAAAAAAATTTATCGAATGTTCTATTAATAATACAAAAATTGATTATGCAATGAATAAATATAAGACGAATAAAATCATTCAGAGTAAATTAATTACTTAATTAAATTAAACTATTTTACCAAAAAGTCAAAAAAAGTTTTAACTCTTCTAAATTACAACATATATCTTTAATCGGTTTTCCCAGATGTTCTTCCACTAACATTTGCCAATTATTCTCAATATCTTGTCTATAAGTTACTAACATTCTAGAAAGATTTGGATGAGATACCGAAATATCATAATTGTCATTCCAAGCTCGATTTGTAGGCAAAAATGTATTAAATAATGATTCTACCCATTCGGAATATGAATTAGTATTTGCTGGATGATAAAATTCAAATTGATTACGTTCTGATGGCAAGTCACTTGGTGAAGCATCGTTATCTAATTCAGAGCCGGAATCAGTATCATCAAAAATATTAATTACAGAACGACGTGAAGATGGGGGGTCAGCAAGAGAGACCCAAGCGTCGATTCGGTTTAAAGTAGACTTATTCATGACAACTAAATTCATTAATGTAGAAAGAGGTAAAGCACCTCCATCAATATCATGCCAAGTTATTAATTCTTCTAATCCTTTACAGTGTTTAGAAAGAATAAGAAAGTCCTCTCCTTCATGAAAACTGGATACTTCAATAATTAATTTTTTTAAATTTTTACATTGTTGAAAAATAACTTGATAAAGATATTCTTCTTCTTCTTTGTTGAATTTAGTACCCCACCAAGTTAATGAATATAAATTTGGTAAATTAACAAAAATTGATACAAGATTTTCAAACTCTAAATCATCAACGACATAATAATCTAAATTAAGTTCTTTTAAATCATTATTTTCAATTAACTTAACTATACATTTTTTACCAACTTCTCCTAATGGCCTACCACTTTCATGCCAAAATTCTAAACTTTCTAAATCACGTAAAAGACTCAAAGCTGAAGAAAAATAACTCCCATGTCTTTGGAATTCTCCTAAAAATCGTAGAGATCTTAAACATAATTTACGAACTTTTCTAGAAGAAAGAATTTCTACCGCTTTAGCTAAATATTTTGTAACTAAAGTTGTAGATTTAACGACTTCCATAACCGCAATGACTTGTGACTCTGCATATTGTTCTCTGGGACTAATTAAAATTCCATTTGCGTTAAAACATTGTGTTAAAACTGATGGCAAACGAAACCAAGGGAATTCATTTTCTCGATCACAAGAAGTAATTGAAATTGTACGAACTAAGGAAGCATAATTGTAATATGCTATTTGTTTACCATTAACATTACTGCTAATCGAGATCGAGTCTGCGAGTTTATTAAAATCTATATGAGGCCCTATAATAATTTTATCATAGAGTTTACGAACAGCAAAAGAGCTAAAAGTTTTATTGACCAATAGTAAGGAACGTAGGCTTCGGTAATCGGAAAAGAAATCTACGATCTCTTTCCATAATTCAGGCGGTAAGAGGGCCATAAGAATAAGAAAAAAAGATCTTCAATACATATAATAAATTATTTTAATTTGCATATTATACAAAAATAGTAAGACAGTTTTCACCAAGCTTTCGGGTTTAAGTAATACATTCTGATTATCATTTCAATTTCAGGAAGTTATGGAATACCAACAAATTTAGCGTAAATTTGAATACTCGTACTTAGTTTCGTTGGTCATAATGAGTCTTTCTGTGAATTTCAACACCCATTCTAAAGCACTTTCGTCAACTTATCAATCTGTTCTTAATGGCGATAAAGAAACAAGCTGGGTGCTTTATGGTTATGACAAGGGAAACAACGATTTGAAAGTTTTAGAAAAAGGAGGTAAGAACACTTTTGTTATTTTAATCAATTTCTTAGTCTTTAACATTACGACAACGACTTTATAGCCGGAGGACTTGAAGAATTGGTGGAAGAATTTAACGATGGAAAAATTCAATATGCTTTTGTTAGAGTGATAGATCCAAATACTGAATTACCGAAGTTTGTTCTTATCGGCTGGGTAATGTGTTTTCTACATTAATGTTTATACTCTTTTTTTCATTGATTCTTTATTCAATATATTTCCGCTCGATCTTATTTAAATCAGTGTGGTGAAGGGGTACCGGAAATCAAAAAAGGATTGTTCAATTCACATTTTAACGAAGTTTCAAAGTTCCTAAAGGTTAGTGAAATTTTTTCATTTGTCTAAATAAAATTTTTTTTTTAAAAAAAACAAAATCTAAATAATGGAATCTATGTAGGGTTATCATCTCCAAATTAATGCCAGATCAGAAGTAAGTTTCCCTACGCTATTATAATATGAAAGAATTTTTATATACTTACATTTTTTATCTTAGGATGATGTTGATCCAGAATATATAATGAAACGTATTAATGAAAGCGGTGGTTCTAAATATTCAATTAATACTAATAAGGAAAAGTCGAGAAAGGAGGATCCAATTTTACCTGTTGTATGTTATTGTTTTAGTAGTTATTATTTATATTACTTAAAATATTTCAAATATATATTTCTAATATATATTTTTTAAATATATAGCATTCTGCATATGAACCAGTAAAAATTCCAGATATTACTGCGTTACAACGACAAGCTCCTCGTGAAGCAATTAAGCCTGTTGTATGTGTACAAAGAAAAAAAGTCTTAGCTTATTAGGCATTATATATTAATTAATTAATGTTCATAAAGGGTTCGGTGTATCAACCCGTTCAACTTCCAAAACCAAAACCGCTTGGTACACGATCAACGTGGACAACCCCCGCCGAGGAACCATTACCGTCTGGATCATCTCCAGCAGAATTAAAAGCACTTAGAGAACGCGATCGCGCTGAGAAGGAACGTGAAAGAATAGAACGCGAAGAGAAAGAACGTGAAAACAAAGAACGCGAAAGAATAGAACGTGAAAAGAAAGAACGTGAAAGAATAGAACGTGAAGAGAATGAACGTGAAGAGAATGAACGTGAAGAGAATGAACGTGAAGAGAATGAACGTGAAGAGAATGAACGCGAAGAGAATGAACGCTTAGAAGCTGAGCGATTGGAAGCAGAACGCCAAGAAGAGGCTGCCCGTAGAGAACAAGCAGAACGCGAAGAACAAGACAGAATCAGACATGAGAGAGAATTAAGACAACGCGACATAGAAGAAGAAAGATCAATAAAAGCTAAAGAAGATCAGGAAAGAATGGAGAAGGCTCGTAAGGAGAAAGAAGAAAGAGAGAAACGGGAACGAGAAGAAGAAGAAAGACAGAGACTAGAATTTGAACGCGAACAAGAGGTTTGTTATTAATAAATTAGTAAATCTTAAAAAAAAAACCGATTAAGAAATTTTTTAATATTTTTTCAATTTTCAAAATTCTCACCAGCAAGAAGCTGCACGTCTTCAACTCGAGCAAGAACAACAATTGGCCCAGGCATTATTACATTCATTTTAATTAATTCGTACTCATTATGTTTAATGAATTATTTAAAAATTACTATTTAATAAATTTAGACCACCACAATTTCTGCTGAATCAGCTGATAGTATAACAGCAATAGTTCAATATTCTTATGATGCTAGTAAGTAAACATAATTTTATTTTCACTTCATAAAATGAAACTTTTTTACCAGATTTTTTTAAAAAAAAATTTTAGGTGAAGACAATGAAATGTCGCTATTAGAAGGTGAAATTATTAGAGATATTATCCAATTAGATGAAGGATGGTGGCAGGGTACTAGTGCGGATGGATCCAGGTCTGGGCTTTTTCCAGGTAAATGATTTATATAAATAAATAAACCTTTTTTCCCTAAAATGCATCAAAATAAAACTCTTCAAATATACAGCAAACTATGTCGAAATTATTGAGAATGTGCCTGAACAAGTTGAAGAAGTTGAAGCTGAACAACAACAAACAGTTGATTCGGTACAAGAACAACACACTGCTAAAGCAATAGCATTATACGATTATTCTGCAAGTGAAGAAAATGAAATCTCATTTTCGGATGGAGATATTATCACAGACATTGAATTTGTTTCAGAAGATTGGTGGAGAGGCAAAGCTCCTGACGGGACAGTCGGTTTATTCCCAGGTAAAAATTAAATTATATGCTATATAAATTTTATCAAAATTAAGCAATTTTATTTATATATTAATCTGTTTATTTTTAGCTAATTATGTGGAATTACAGAATTCATAATAGTGTATTTGGATACTTGGTAGATTTTATTAAATTAATTTATAATAAAAATTGTATAAATTATAACTTTATTTCACGTGGTGCTTATTTTAGGAAGTTCAATAATTTATGACAATCTATTTATTGATTGAAAATTATATATAAATGTATAAAAAGTTAATGAATTTTTCTAAAGTTCATAAAATACACCAATATTTTTTTAGTTTGACTAAACTTCGTTATTTGTCATCTCCGTAGAATTGGGCTTTCTCTTTTAATTTAAAGAAAATTACAATATACAACCCAGAGATCTCCATCATCTCTAGTTTTACCATAGCCTTTGCCGTAAATAAAGCTTAAAATGGAGGACAACACATCTAACAAGACGGAGTTTTGTATTAATGGTTGTGGATTTTATGGGTAAGCAGACGCAGAGCTTATATTATATCTATTAAGAAGTCTAAACTAAAGAAATATGTTTTTTCTTGGTTTTAACAAGAAAAAACATCTAGAATATAAATACTTTCGTTCAATAATTTATTATATGTATACTATTATACTAAATCAACCTCTCTGTAAAATTAGCAACCCCATTTACAACCACATGTGTTCCAAATGCTTTAAGGAATGCAATGCAAAGAATGGACAAAGTGGTACGGATTGTTGCATAAAATGAACGTTTTGTTTAATACTGTATAATAAATAACTTATTGTATCAATTATTTCTAAAAGCTGAGAAGCCTATAGAACCTGCCATGCCCTCTTCCGCTTCAACAAATCAGCCTCTTACATCCACACCCTCATCCACAACTACAACTATTGCTACAGAAGAAATCCAAGAATCCATTGCTACACCTACTTCTGAGCAAGTCTTACCTCAATCCAGTCCTCCGATTCCTACTGAAGATCAACCAAGCCAACATACACGACCGGTTCAATCTAACAAAGCTCGTTGTTTCATGTGTCGGGCCAAAATCCCTTTAGCTAAGCAAACTATTAATAAATGTCGATGCGGTTAATATCATTTTATGATTGTTATAAGAAATTTACTTTATAAATTTTTGAGAATTAATTCTTTATTTTTAAACTTTTATTTTTGATCTCTTTAGAGTATGTTTTTTGTGATACCCATAAAGTACCCGATAAGCACGATTGTGACTTTGATTTCGCCAAGATGGGTAAAGATATTTTGGCAAAGAACAATCCGAAGTTGAATGAAGTGCACAAAGGTGGACGTTCTTTCAACAGAATTGACTAAAAACATTATTTTCGAAGGACTATTTGAATGCGGATTATATTTGAAATATGGTCTTATATGCTTTCGGAATAACGGTCATTGCATTTCGTTTATTGTCGTGAAGCAATTTTATGGACATTATTTTTCGCTAGTTACTAACGAAAAATCAAAGAGTTTTTTTTTTCCTCATAGACTTACAAACTTTTTTTTTTTTGAATTATTAAATCAACACTTGATTTTTCCTTTTACATTCATTTTTTGGGAGTTTAATGGAACTAACAAAACGCATGATATTTTACAATATATTTGATAACAGATACACTTTGTGAATAATGGACTTGGCTCCATGATTCGATCTTATTAAGTAAATGGCAAATATTATTTTTATATTTTTTTTATTAAATCCGACTGTTGTTTTTTTACATGTTATAATCTCTTCATGTTTAAAACGTTGCGTAGCTTTGAACAAATCATTTAAAATGATTTGGATGATGGTGATAATAAGGACGATTATAGTGTTTGTAACTCTTCCTAAAATTTTATTATTACTACTATTACTACTATACTTAAAGATATTAGTTGAATTGAAAAAAATGTAAATTTTAATATGAACCTTGGGGGAATTTATTCCTTTTTCTTTTATATTCCCTAATGAAAGTTTGTTCAGTTGTTATTTATTTCAAATATTTATTAGTTACAAGTCCTTAGCCTCCTTTAATACATATATTTTTTTACCTGACCTAACTAAATTACCTTAATTACAAGATAAAAGACGTGCAACATAATTTCACAACCTTGAAACAAATGATAATATTTTATTAATTTTATTAATTGAGATTAAACCAACATAAATAATAACGAAATCAAATAAACATAGTTTTCTTTATACAACTATTCTTGTTTTATAGGAAAAAAAATATATTAAAATTGTTATTTCTTTCCCTATAAATAAATAAAAGTTAATTTGATTTAACAGAAAAAATGAGAATATAGTACAGTATAATTACACACACCTTTATCATTTTGGTTAAAGCATACGCTGCTCCAGTCGTGCCAACAGCAAGACCTCCAAAGAATAAAGCCACGAAACCTTTTCTAGAAGGACCACCAAGAATCCAAAGAGGTGTACTAGAATTTGTCTTGAATAAAAGATAAATTGTTATTCAACGAAACCAAATATAAAAATAGAAATATCTTCGTAACTACCTGAAAGAACTTTTGATATTCAACAACTCTATTTGGCTTATCTACTAATCCTGCCATTTTATTTAAAGTGAAGTTTTTTTTTGTTTTTCAGATAGGGAAGCTGAATGATAAATTAATCGATTGTTACACGACAAATTTCACAAAAACTTTGCGCGTAACTGAAAAATCATGAGATATGAACATCAAATCCTAATCTAATCTAATCCCTAACTAAGTAACTATCAACTTACCTAATTAACCCCCTCCGATATAAAATCTTTTTAAAAAAGTTTTATCAATTAATTCAGCTATTAGTCTTTGAGCATTGTATCGAAATATGGAAGTTAAATCTAAATTTCCATATTTAGACTAGATCGTTTACTTATTGACGCGAACATAGAGAGTAGATTATCAATAATTTTATTACACTGCCACTTTTATTTCATAGCCACATTTTCGTCTTTTTCATTGTTGATTACATATGTTTAAACCTCTCAGAAAATGACTTTTTCTTTTTCTTTTGCTTCTTTTGTCTAATTCAATATTTTATTATAAATATGTTACATATCGAATACCTTGATATCCTTCAAAATCATGGCTCAATAATAAATGAACAGATGAAGGTATTTTATTGTAATAAAAAGTTATTAATAGCTACTTTTTTAGAAGGTTTAATATAAATTGTATTTGACTTTTAGCCATCTTCTTTACATGAAATAGACCTAAAACGAGAAAATAACTGTAAGGCAGTAGAGGAGTATAATGATGATATAAAGAACCATCAACCGTTTACATGCAAATGTGAGAAAGCAGCTAATCAATGTGATAAACCTACACATTTCTCTGCCAACCTCGCGAAATCCACAACTTCTCATAATGAAGAATCTTCTCGCTGGTTACCTAAACAGAATAGTCCGATTTTAGAAACCGAGAATAATACTGAAGATAATGTCAGTTTTTCAGAACTAAAAAAAGTTAACGAGACCTTGGAAACACGTGATGAAGCATATGATGAAGAAAAAGAATTATTAAATAAAATTAATGAGATTTTGAAAATGGACAATAGAAAAATAAGGGATAAAGTCAATAAAATGCGGGTCAACGAATTGAATCGAGACTCAAAATCTCATGATTTCCTTTTGCCTTGCGATGAAGATACTGGATGCGTTTGTGACTTTTTGCAAGTATATGAAAAACATGCATCGTTTGACAATAATCGTTGCAGAATGTATGAAAATGTGAACAATGATATTCCGCGCATTAATTACGTGCCGACTACAAACGATTCGATCCATGAGGTATTTTGATCGTTTACGATTATTTTAATACTCAGAAAATCATTATTAAATTTAATTTTTAATTTACGGAAATAATCAAGAATGAATTTAGATATTTGATACGTAAATATACTCCCTTGAATAACATACCTCGCGGTGAGATTGATGAACCAACACGTGTATACGGAAATAGCTTTTATAATCCCGCGTGTTTGAATAATGAAAACAATACAATTACAAATTTAGAAGAGCAGCTTACAGGAGCATCATTAGAATACTGGGGAAATAATTCTATCGGTAGCGTTGAACATTCTTTAACGCAATCCGAGTGGAATATATTAAAATCTTCTAATGAATCTGCGAATTGGCTTCAACATTCATTTAATCAATCTAATTGGCTTAGAAGCAACACTTCTAGTCCTAATATGAGACAACGTGATCTTTATGCATAATATTGTAAATAATAAATGTTGTAATTATTAAATAAATATTTCAATAATTTATTTTATAAGAATAAATCTGCTTTTAAGCTTTTTCTTTTTAGGTATTTTTAACCCATTCATCATGTCTTTTAACTAATTCGGGAATTATCTTTGATTCAATTTCAACATCATTATTTACTTCTTCTTCAGATAATTGTATTTTAAGTTCAGAATCTTTTGTTATAAATGTTACTTCCAGTTTTCTTGTAGTCAGAAGATTACCAATAACGATTTGATGCCCATATCTTGTCAATGCTTGTCTTGATTTATCAACTAATAAAGAAGGATCTGTTTCTAACTATATAATAAAAAAAAATGGATAAATCATATAATTTTTTCATAATAAAATAAAAAAAAAATTATTCCTAACCTTAAATGAAACAATAAATCCTTCCGGTACCCAGTTTGTGACCATTGGCTTTAAAAATTTTGGCACTTGATCCATTGTAAGAGTTAAACCACCTTCCGCGGATTGAATTTTATGTTGAACCTATTTAATATTCAAGATTCTAGTCATAAACGATATAAATAATTTGAATTATTAAAAAGGATATAATAATATTTGCTTACCATCTTTTGAGATGGAATAAAAAAATCACTGACAGCAGCAGCAAGGTAATACATTGCATTTTCTTTTAAATTTCTCATGATTTGCGTAACACTACGAAGAAGAAAAAGATAATCTGCTACAGTAACGAAATTAATTAACAATAGTGTCCCATCTTGCTTTGCCTAAAAAATGTAATAATATATCAACAACTAAAAAAAATTATATTAAAAGAGAAATTCTTAATTCTTCATTATTTACTTTTTTATATTTTTCCAATATAGATTTCATTTTTGGAATATATTGTGAATTAACTACTAATATAAAATAATTAATTTTTTGTCTCCTTTTTTTTTAAAAAAAAAAATTATTCAATTACCTTCAATTTTGCCATCATTTCTTAATTCAATAAAATCAAGAAAACAATTTGTTGAATGAGTGTAATGTCTACTATATGGTTGTAAGCTAAATTGTCTATGCATAAAAATCACTGCATAACCTATCTCGAGAAAATATGTATTATTAAAATTTTTTGTTAAAGATAAAGCAAAAACTTCAACTAAAAAGATTATAGAAATGAATAAAAGGATATTCAGCTGAGGTAGCTCCTCTAGTTCCAGCACTAAAATTATCTAAAAATCTTACGGTATTATTTTCAAGTGGTACAGTAGTACCCCCACTCTTATTTTAAAAATAAAATAAAATAAATAAAACACTATTTTCAATAAAATTAAATAAGTAAACTTTATTAATTACCGTAACCAAAACAATTCTTCTACCAGCTTTATCATGCTTATTTACAAATTCTTTTACTTTATTTTCATCTTCAGGTAATGTACTTGGTGGTAAATTATTTTGAAAATACGTGTCCGGATTAATTACTTCATTTGTACCAGTATCGAGCAAACTTTTAGAAAAAATATTAGTGGTCATATTTTTATATTAAAAAGTCTCGTAATGAAGAATTTTTATAACACAAAGTGAACCAGGTGACAGAATAAATTACAAAGATTTAAAACTAAAACCGGGAGCAATTCAACAAACTGACAACCAAACCGCTACGAAGGCGATGTCACCATGGTGTCTTAATGAAGAATTTTTTTTACTGATAACAGATAATCTTAAAAACTACAGTTTCACGTGATGAATTATTTTTGTGGCGTAAAATCCCAAAAGATTACAAATACAATATATTTTCGTTTACAAAAATTAAGATATTGTAATATGTTTTTTTTTGTTTACAATGAAAAAAGAAAGATTAAGAAAGGATATAGTACAATGATAAAAATAATGTTTAAACCTAAATCCTATATGTGTATAAATATCCTTATTTTATAATATATATATATATATATATATAAGGTCACTGAGCTGTTGAAGGTTTTTTAAGTAAAATAAAGAACATTGGAGTAAAAATCTCCAATTCTCCTCCTTTAACTAAAGCATCAGCAGTGTTGTTAAGAAAGGATGCAACATCAGTTGAACCAGGAGCGACGATGCGAAGACATTCGAGAAAATAAACTAACTTATGAGTTGTCCTAAAATAACTTAAATTAGAAAATCATACTATAAAATACACTCAGAACTTAGAACAAATTTAAACCGTACCATCTTCCTATACGAGTCATCCTAAATCCACTGAAGGAAAAACTTCCTTTTAAAGTCAAATACCATGGATCATGACAATCTTCTAACATAGCCATATCTTCGTACTCAAGCACTTCGAAGCCAACGCTTTTCGCGGCTTCAAGAGCTTGTTCATAAGAGCTCAATGATGGAATCGAGTTACCCTCCTAATTTAAGATCAAGAAAATATTTAAATATTTCATTTCAATTATGCCTAAAAGAAAAACTTTAATTGAATGAAAACCTCGATTCCATGAATGATTCGCCCATGTTCAGGATTATTTTCATCATATTTTGGTGTCGTAACCCATTCATAAGTTGCAAAGAGACCTCCAGGTTTTAAAGCACGAAATACTTGTCCATAAACCATTTCAAGTTTAGGAGAATGTACTGTAGCTTCAACCGCGTAAGCTGAGTCGAATTTACCATCCAGCTCACGTGGCATGTTCGTGAAATCCCCCTAAATAAAATATTTGACATTTAGTTTAAGTCAAAATAAAAATATATTCAGATTTATGATTACTTTAACAAAATCGGTTCTGCTTTCTATTCCAAGGTTCCTCGAATACGCTTTACATCTTTCAATCTGATATGCATTATTATTAATTCCAGTTATATGAGCGCCAGATAACCTGACAATTTCACGGAGTGGGCCACCAACGCCACAACCAACATCCTGAGCACGTGCAAACCCATCAAATTAGTGTTGGTAATAAAAAATTTGAATCTGATTGATTAAAAAAATTTTTTTTTAATCTTACTAAAGTTTTATGTTTATCATTCATTCCTAACTTTAAAGATAAATATTGTTCGTGACGTTTAATAGCTTGCTCAAAAGTATCACCTTTATAGATACGAGCAAAATGAAAAGATTCGCCCCATCCTATACATTTATTATCATTTATATATTTTTTTTAAAAAAAGGTTAATCTTTCAATTCTTGCAAATTTCCTTATACTGATAACATAAATACTTGCCATATTCATAAAAATCTGTGACAATGTCATAGAACGCGTTTGTCATTTTTTGGGCATTTTCGCGTCTTACTTTGGTTGTTTCTTCCTTATTAGAAAAATCTTTTTTATCCTCTTTCCACATACCAGTATAAGTATTAACGGTACGTCGGTTCAATTGTTTATCTTTCCTATGAATTTTACTAATAAAACCATTAGTCTCATAGATAATTTCTCCATGATGCCGTTTAATATTGTCAATTTCTGACACGTGCTCTTCCAACTTGTTTGTTTCAGCAACTGGTGACATTTTTTATCTAATATCAAACTATACAAACTGTATATCATTAATTTGTCGCTAAATAAAAAAAATGAAAGGAATAGTAAAATGTTTTATAAAAAAGGGCGTAAAGGGTAAAGGTAAGAGACAAAACCTTTAGACAGTAAATCCATACAAAAAAAAAATAAATATCAAAATCTTGTCCTACAAAGATATGAACACAACCGATTTTGTATTAATAATTAATAATATGAGCGAACCCTCTTTACTTAATAACAGATGAAGTTAATCAGCAACAAATCTTTTAAAAATTTTGTAATACTCAATCAAGTTCAGTATTTTTAATTTATGACGTAAATCTTGTAAATCTCGTAAATCTCGTAAATCTGATGTTCTCAATCCGTTTGAACGAATTAATTCAGATTTTAAATGATTAATTTATAATTATTATTAAATATTTATTGATTTTAAAAGACTTGTCTAACATTAACATTAATGCGAGAAGAAGACATAAAATCTCCGTAAATTTTCCATTCGGGATCATCATCATAATTGGGCTCAAGATATTTTGGGAGAGTTCCTTCAAGAATTCGTGGAACACCTTAAATTTTAATTTCAAATAAATTTGTTGCCTTTTTTTTCGAAAAAAAAGGAGATAAAATTTACAAACCATGAAAATTAGTTCTGCAAGGACCACACATAATTGATATATCACCACTGCGCAAATATAATGCGATCGGTGCAATATCCTTAGTTGGTCCCCCAATTAAGAAAATACAGGTATGTCCAAAACTAATTTATTTTAAAATAAATAATAATAATATTAAATGAAAATAAACATATATTTCTTTTACATACCTAAAAGAAATCAGAGGAGCTTCCATATTAATTTCGCTTTTATCAACATGAGCCATTATGTTATCTTTAAGTTGATAATAATTTACAACGCCAGCTTCAGGTTTCCATTTTTTATGATCATAATCATTAACAAAATATTGTTTATCATTATTTTCGTTTGTTTCATTAGTATAAAATTTAATTCCATTAATTGATTTTACAACAGAGGTTGTCAATAATTCAATGTCTTTAGGAAATGGGAGTCGCTTATCTAAATGATAAGTTTTTGTTGCCCAATGATATTGATAACCTAATGTAATCCATCTTAATTTTTTTATTAATTCTGAAGGCGATAATATTGGCACACCTGATGATGGTAATGGTTCGCCTTTTTCTTCTCTTTCTTCTTTCTCCTGATACTCTTTTTCAACTAATGATTTTTGAGGACATTCCTTCTGAGTTATTTCTTGTTTGGCATCAATTTCTTCTTCATATAATGAATTTTGTCCAGTTACAGATGCTTTTAATGGAACAACGCATCGTGAATCATTTTTGTCTAATTCACCATTAATTATTTTTTCATGCAAATTCCATAAACCTTCTTTTGGTAATACATAATGAGTGTCAAGATTATTTTTATTTGGATATTTCGCAAAATCTTTTAAACATCTTTTTATTATGTTTTTTTGTGCTTCGGGTGTAAAAGGATTAGGAATAAATATAAATCCTAATAATAAAACAATAAAAAATAAAAAATAAAATTACATTGTTTATCCTTTATTTTTTTTTGTAAGAAAATAAAAATCCACTTACCTGGTAAATCCTTAACAACATAAGCAATCCTTCTTTCCCCTTTAATAATTTCTTTCTCTTCTTTTAGTTCATTATAATCGCCAAATATATTTTCTTTTTCCTCGTCATCATCTTTACCTAATTCAACTTTTAATTCAATTTTCACAATTTTACTTTTAATTTCATCACTAGATAGATCTAAATTATAAAAATCTATAACATTATCGAAATTTGGTGGTGGTAAACGCGATTTAAAATTTCTTTCGGCGTCTCTAAATGGAGTTTGTGTTGAATGTGTAAAAGGTTTCGACTGTGATTGTCTTTGTTCTAATTTTTGTTGTCTCTTACTTTTATACTGTGCTTTTGAAGAAATCATCGTACTTAATAAAAGTTTTTTTTTTGGGCACATATTTATATTGTAGATCTGTCCAATGAAAAAAGATCTTTAATTAGTAGATCTTTATTTTATTTAGCAGTTACACTTAAAAAAGTTGTTACGTAAAAAAAAACTACACTTATCTATAAAGCGAATATTACAAATTATTATGTGTACATTTAACGTCTAGAAGGGATCAAGTACGAAATTTAATAAAAATGTATGCAATTAAATCTTTTTAATAGAAAATTGGGGTTGCAACATATGATTTATACGAATGATAAATTAATCTGCTCCTTGTCATTCTATACACAAATAGCAATAAACTAAAGAATTATAAAAGAAAAGAAACTTTTGTAATCTGTAAAATTAAAAAATTACAAATAGACATTACTTTTACACTTTATTAAGATGTTTTATTTTAATTTGAAGTATTTTTTTATTTGTTAATTTTATTTTAAAATTAAATATTTACTGATATTAAAATAAAATAATTTTAATCACCCTTTTTATTGTATAAAATAAAATATAAAGAATTGATTGACTTATACAAATATTAACTTTTTAAAATATTATATAAAATTTTTTTTAGTATAGGTTAGTATAATATTTCAGAGGTAATGTAAATTTTGAAATATTAGTTATATTACAAATGTAATATTTCATAAATGTATAAAAATTTAAAAATTATATATGGTGCAAATAGTCTAAAGCCACCACTTTTTATCATGTAACTTCAAATGAATAGAAAAAAAAATTTTTAATCAATATTTTTTTAAAAATTTTCTGTAATATTATAGTTTAAATATTATACTTTTATGTAACAGAGAGTTTTTTCAAATTGAATTACTGTAGCATAAGATATATAAGTTTTAATTTTGGTTATTTTACTATATTTTGAATAAATTTGAAGTTTAACACTAATATAATGCAGGCCAAAATTTATAAACTGGCCTAAATTAAAAATTAATATAAAAATATTCTTGAATAACTGAATAAAAATTATTTATCTATAAATTTTATTTTTTTGAAAGAAATTAAATATATGTTTATTATTCTTAATAAATATAGAAAAGATTTAATGGGTATCACAATTTTATATATAATAAAATAACAGATTCTTTCTGATAGTATGAATTTTATAAATCATTTTAGCCAGAATTAATATTAATTCTAGCTAAAACAATTAGTATTCTATTCTACAAATCCACATATATATATATAATTAGTAAATATTAACCAATAAAATTTTGCTCATGTGATTTTATAAAAATTTGGCAAAAAAACAAAAAAGTAGTGGTTTTAGACTGTGTACACTATATCTAAAATTTATAGCTCATTAAATTTTATTAAAAAAATTGAATATTTGAATAATAGTAAATTTATACTAATAGGATTATAGGAGTAATTTTTATTATATTAGTAAATATTAATATAATTTTATTTTAAGAGTGAATTTATTTACTGCACTTTGCATTACAAAGCATCCTTCCTTTTTTGTAAATTATTTATGTCAATCTTTAGTTTATACACCGCAACCCTTTAAAATGGCAAATGATAAACATAAAAATATATATAAATTTGTAATGCAGAGTGTGGTAAATACATTATTTCTTATTTTAAAATTCTATTTTTAATAAGATAATTAATATTTAAAAATAAAAATTTATTATTTCTTTATTTGTAATGCAAATATATATTATATATGTTATCAAAATTTAATATAATTTGGAATTTGGAATTTAACTTCAAAATTCAGCTTACAGTTAATATTTTGCATGAATCAATTTATGATATGATATAACTCTAATTGATTCTGAAGAATAAAAATATTTTTTGCAAAAACTTTTGATCTAACAGTCTGATTTCAATAATTTTTTTTTTATTTTAATCAGAAAAACAAGAACTATCAATTAAATAAAATTAATTATATATAAATACTTAATTTTTAAAGTAAAAAGAATTTTAATATTTTAACCAAAGTAGCTAAAATAAAAAATCAATTCTCTAATTAAAAATTAGCTTATTTTTAAGATTTAATTAGTAGTTGTTAAAAAATCCACTTTTACAAATTAGCAAATTTGATAATTTAAATATAAAATTATAAAAATTTCACTAAAATTCTAATAAATAAATATTTGGAAAATCTTAAATATATACATATATAAGGCTTACATAATCATGATAAACATCAAGATATAGAAAAAATATGTTATAGTTATCATATTGATTGACTTCAATGTAATAACTATAAAATTATAAAATAAAGAAATTTTAATAACTTCCTTAAGAGGTATTTTTGTAAGATAATTTTCAGCTACTTTAAATCTAAAATAATAAAAGAAATTTAAACAATTTCAAACTATGATGATAGATATTTTTACTTAAATTTACCAATATTACTACAAGTATTTTATACTTAAATAATCTTATTCATTTTATTATTTATCTCTAATACCTACATCAGGAAATTTGTTTAGGCGTAATTTAGTGTAATATTTTGAAGGTGGTGTAAAATTTTGAAATATTACACTAAAACATAATATTACAAAAGTATACGCTCTTAAATTTAAATAATTATAGTAATTTAAGAATATCTCACTATCTACTGATCCAATTAAGACGATCTATAGTTCATTGGAATTAGCTCATCAAGACAAATCGAATGGTAGTAAAATCGCATTTCTACAGTTGATAGAACGCTCTATAGTATACAATAAAGTTTTAAATTAATAGAAAGCCATCTATCAAACGTAAAGATGTGATTTTACTACCATTCGATTCGTCTTGATGAGCTGATTTCAATGAACTATAGATCGTCTTGATTGGATTAGTAGATAGTGAGATATTCTTAAATTACTATAATTATTTAAATTTAAGAGCGTAAATTTTTGTAATACAGTCAACTCTTAATATAACGAAGTTGGTATCCGGGTTGATCAGGCCTTTGTTATAGGAATATTCGTTAATATGATGGGAAAATCTGGTATAACCCGGAAAATTTTTGTATATTATGGTATATTGTCGTATAATAATTGTATCAAAATGCAAGTTACACAAAATATCTTCGTTATATTGAAAAAAAATTCGTTATAAAAGAAAATTCATTGTTAAAAGGGGCATTTTTCATATACGGTTTATAAAATTTACTTCGTTAAACGGTATACGGCATTTAATTAGTAAAATTCGGTATAATGAGATTTTTTTCATATGTTAAAATCTGTACCATACTGAAGATCCGTTATATTGTAAAATTCGTTATATCAAAATTCGTTATAAGAAGAGTTGACTGTATTACGTTTTTAGTGTAATATTTCAAAATTTTACACCACTTTCAAAATATTACACTAAATTACGCCTAAACAAATTTCCTGATAGTATAATACAGTTTAAGGGAAAATATAGGACCCCACTTACTTATAATAAAGGTTACTGTAGAAAATTAGCCTTTTACTAATAGTTTTTACCTTACTTTTTTCTTAAATACTATTGGTTAATTAGCTAAAAAGGAAAAAAATCATAACAATGTAACATAAAATTTCCTTTTATAGTAGGATTTGCAAAGAATTTTATATATGATTTTTACCTTAAGCCTGGGATGACCTATCTTATAAATAAGTAGGGTCCTGATAATATACTATTAACTGATTATTTTACTGGCAATATTTAAATAATATTAATAAAGGCCAATGCATATCTTTCAATACTAACAATAAGTTAATTTATTTTGTAAAATACTCTAATAATCTTCTTCTTACTATAGATAATTTAAGAAAGCATAACAATTTATATGATTAAATTAAATATCTATTGTGCTTTAGAAAAAGTAAAACTATTAAGCATTTTGTTATTTATCAAAAATAAAAATTAGTTTTTCATAACTAAAATTAAACAAAAAGTTATTAACAAAATTTTTAAGTTTATCACAAAAATAAATTCAAATAAAAGAAAGAATTTTTTTTGTAATTTATTGGAAAATATAAAGGTTGTTACTTATAAACTACACTAATATTATGTGAGAATTCTACTTACTATTAAAATAGGTCATCTTGTGGTCTAAGGTAAGGTTTACATATAAAATTCTTTAAAGATCCTACTATAAAAGGAAATTTTATGTTACATTTTTATGATTTTTTTTCTTTTTAGTCAATTAACCAATAGAATTTAAGCAAATTCTAAAGTAAGGTTCATATGAAAGTGAAATTTCTACCGGTAACATATCTTAGTAATAGGCGAGATCCTATTATATGACTTCAAATTTTTATAAATTATAAATTAAATAGTAAACTAAACTGATAAAATAATAAAGCAACATATATTAAATATTTTTATTAGATTATTTTATAGAATTTAATAAGAATTTCAATTAATATTATAGATTAAAGTTGGATAATTTTAATAAGTAGTAATAATAAAACATAAAATTTTGGATTAATTTTTATTTAATTTTTATGGATTTTACAAAAATTCTATGGAAATTTATAAGAATTCCATATAATATAATAAAAAAAAAATTTGCTACTTATGTAGCAATTAATATTTTAATAAAGTACTTTTAAAAATAAATTATACAATATAAATAAATAAAATTTCAAATTTTGGATTATTGCTATTTATAGGTGATAACTACCATACTATTTTTGAATATAAAAATAATGCATTTCCAGAATTTAAGATAAGAAGCTAAATAGAACTATCCAATTATCCTGTGATTTAATATCAGACACTATTATGAAAAAGCTTAAATCTTTCATATCAAAGAAGTAAACTGCTATTATTACTATAAGAATAATTAATTAGTTTTACAATGCCTTTAAAAAATATGTATAAATTCTAAGATGCATAAAATTAATTAAAATAAAAGATCACTTCGGTATTGGAAAAAAAGAAAAATTATTTGCTATAAAATCTTTTGCTTCTCTACAATAACTTGATTATATTTCTAAACTTAAAAGGAAAAAAAATATAATTTGTAAAAGTATAATCTGATGCAAAAATTACATCTTTTGTTACTTATTAGATAGATTACAATAATTATAGAAATTCAAGAACTGG